CAAAATAGGTTAGTTTTAGAAAATATTTCAACAGTTTTATAATATATTTTGCAGTTCACTAATATTTTTTGAACATATAAAATTGTTTTGGCAAGGGTATTTTAGGTTTTGGGACTTGGGTGGGAGCTACCCCCAAATTCCAGGGGGTTTTTATTTGTGAGCTTCGGGGGAAATTCCCTCCGTTGAGCTATTACAAAAGCAGGACACGAAAATTTTCAACACAGTCACCACCTCGATGATCATCCCCTCACAGTAATTATACCAAAGAAAAAAGAAGTACTCTACGTAAGAAACGATGCCTTTCTTCCAAAACTAACATGCAGCGTTTTAAGACCACATTTGTAAATAGACTAATTTTAAAATATAATTTAGTGTAGTATTCCATTCTTGAAAATGTAACATAAGATATGTATCTTCATCTTGCGATTGAATAAAGACTTATAATAATAATAATAATATGGTCACAAACCCAGACGTTATTTCCTACGCTCACCTATTTCCAAGGGAGGGGATATAAATGATGTCTGGGTTCATCAACTGCACCTGCAAGTGATTACCCATTTATATACTGAAGGTTATATGCCTTACCACATACCAGTTTGATATTAATTTATTATTTTATTCTTATATTCCTTCATATTCCATTTTGGAAAATAAAGTGCTCCCCCCATAATTGCTTTGGAAAATGCCCCCCCCCCCAATGAACAAAACAACAACAAATGACAGATCAAGTTTACCGATTCCAGAAAGAGAAGTGGGTGATTCCGTTGTTGCACTGACATCAGTTGGAGCTTGTGTTATTACAGCAGAAGTTAAGCTTTGTCTTGACACAGCTTCAATTGGAGCTTGTGTTGACAGAACAGCAGTTGGTGTTTCTGTTGGAGAATGGAGAAGAAAGCAATGGTATAAAATAAGGTACAGACAGCTGTACAGTAAGTTTCCGCGAACACTAGTGAAATGTAAAAAAAACCATAACTATTACTTGGAATTCTTTCATAAAATTTCTTCATACTACATAAATTTGGCTAGCTAATGCTTGCTTTTAAGTTAATATCGCAAAACTATAAATTAGAACAGAGGTAGCTACGCATTGCTACAGTATTATGAAAAAAATGGTTTATTTCTCATATTACAAAAAATAATTAGCTAACTTTGTTCTACTGTATGAATTCTACAGCTATGCGAGTTATCAAGAGTGGTATAAACAAAGGTTATTCAAGTGTTGTCCATGCTGTAACTCACCTGAAGGAATATTGTAGATAAGACTGACTGGTGTAACACTTGGGAATACAAAAACTGCGCTCTTGCCGTTTATCATAACTGGAATAAACGTTTCTGCATCATATGCTGTGATGACTATTTGTTGACGTGTAGAAAGTGTTGATTTGATCGGATAACGTCCACCAACAGGAATCACAAATCGTTGATGTGCTCGACCAGGGAAGGTCATGACAATTATAACATTTTTTTGGTAACGGTTCACAATCGTGACATCCAGATGGTAAATAATAACTGAAATATTGCAACAAAATTATGCAAAAAATTAAATCGTACGTTACAGCACGTCATGAGTATTTAAAGTTCAAATGTTTGAAAGCAATAGTGCAAGTTATTCAAGTCACATGAATGTTTTCATGCAGAATACAGGTCAACCTCGTTCCCAGGGTCTCTCCTTCTGTCATCTGGGAGAGACCCTGGCTGCGGCTGGTCACGTGCCTCCCAGATTCTGGGAGGTAAATTTAATTGTAACTGTGAGAAGGGTGGGAAAGGAGCGTGTTTGTAGCGTTTTAAAATTGCAACTTTGGGTGATGAAATTTACTGTAAATTTGCAACAAGAAATCGTAAAGAGAACTCTTATTAAATTAATATTTATATCGTGACGTTCTACTCTATAATCTGGTGTCGAGTTACAATTCAAACAAGTTGGATCAGATTTCATTATAGACTTGCCAAAGAAAGCACGCTTGCGGCGGCTTGCCGCTTGTGCAGCGTGGCAATATTAAACCTACAAGAAAATATATATCTCCAGACTGAACAGTGTGGTTGTTATTTATTTAGTATTAAAGTCTATCCTGATACTCGGACCAAAAGAATTTATTTATTGATGAGATGTGGAATATTTGCAACGAAATATCGAGATCTTTTGATTTCCGAAATATCGCCAAGACGCCAACTGTATCCAGATATTTGTTGATCTATATAAAGGCCTTATCAAAAAAACTTAAAGCCCGTCAAAAGACTATAAAATTGGCCCTTGGCATTGCTGAAACCAACGATCATGGTATATGTCAAAGTATAGTTGTCTGTTGAAAATCTACGGTATTAAAATCATACACCAAAGATAAGTCAAACGACAAATTATATGTCACTATATAATACATGTCTTTCAATAAGCACTCTTTAGTAGTGTTCACCACCTTTATAAATTTTTAAACAGCTTTCGTTTTGACATAAATAAGCTATAATTTTTTATTTTTTTTGCTTTATATGCATTCTTAATAATACAAGTGAGATTTAAATTTTTGCTCTGTGAAATAGAATACCGTTATTTTTTAATGGACAGCTTGCATCGTCTATCATATCCAGGATTGCTTGTGTGTAAACGCATTATTCACTATATGACACTATCAAATAAATATAAGTAGCAAATGATTAATGAATTAGAGATAAACAGGTGATTCACAATGAAATGTTAGTAGAAGTAGAAAACTCGAAAATTTATGTCTATTCGTATGACGCCAATGACGGTGTGCGCATCTGACACTGTAAATTTGTGATATAGATTATAGTATGTTAACATAATATAATGATTAATAGAGACCAAGAAAAAGGCTAAAGTCTTACTATAATTACCGAATACAAATTATGTACTAAATCCAGATAAATCAATGAATGAAATTTCCTCTATGCTTATGGACATTTCTCTGTTCGGCTATTGTGTCTATTATCAAATATTTACATTTGCTAATATTGGGCCAGTCCTAGACAATACTGTTTCTTTTAAAAATCTTATAAACAAGACGCGTAGTAACAAGTGAATCGGTGCAAAGCGTATCAACATTTACAAGAATGGACGAATGTAATGGCGTATTTTAAAAACATTACAATAAACGTTTGTTATAATCGTGCTCGAGTGTGAACAGAACATGCATTGAGTATTTAAACAACACGAGACTCGAGCACTGCGAGTAACGATTTGCTTGGTTTCTTTGACTTGGCTATAAGTAAGAATGTTCTTGTAAATTCAAAGCAAAGAAAATAAACAAAACTTAGCAAGTATTTTGAACGTAATAATTCACAAAATTTATGTTTTTAACGAATATCCGACTGGAAGCATGTTGATGTAATTTGATACTTTCCCCACACCCCCTCGGGCGCTAAATTTTTGATGAGGCACGTGACCAGCCACAGCCAGGGTCTTTCCCAAAGAAAGATCCTGGGTACGAGGTTGAATACAGGTCTGTATATAGTCAACGATGTTATATAGTAGCCAAAATCGACGTAAATGCGGAGGAGTGGAGCTAAATTAGAAAATTAAATCTTGAGGAGTGGAGCTAATTAGAAAGTGAAAGAGAATTCATTTCCATAACAACACACTCGCAATAAATATTGGTTCTAGCACAATGTAACACAATTGTTTCAGTTTTAAAGGCATGTGTGTGTGTGTCGATAGAAGGTAATCCTACAGGTTTCAGTTTTCACATAGTCATCTTTTTTTCAATACAATGAACAAAAACAAAAACAAAGTAAAAGATCAACTTTACCGATCCCAGTTGTAGAAGTTGGTGATTCCGTTGTTACAACATCAGTTGAGCCTTGTGTTGACACAACATCCGTTGGTCCTTCAGTTGAAACAGAATGGGTTGGTGGTTGTGTTGACGCAGCAGCATCAGTTGGAGCTTGTGTTGGAGATGAAAGTAATGATATAAAATAAGGTACAGTAAGTTTCTGCTAACTCTGAAATGTATAAAAATAATAAACATTACTTGGAATTCGTTCATATAATACACAAATAAATACACAAATTTAGTACAGCTACCCATGCTTGTTTTTAGCACAGTTACCCATGCCAATGCAGTAACTTAGGGTAACGTGCATGCGCGTTTACTTGGTAGCCATGCATTATAATCCATTACCATCATCCCCTTTGTCCCATCAAGGGGAGTCAAGGTCGCCTGCACACTATTTCCCTGTATTATGTCGTCAACTTATCCAGATTCACCACTCTACCATCATCTTGCACACAACCCATCCGCCGATTCCCCAGTCGTCCTTTCTTCCTCCCTATGCTCGGCAGCCAATTTGACAAACTCATTTCCTTCCATTCTCTTCATGTGGCCATACCGTCTTAGTCTAGTTTCTAGTATCTTCTCTCTCAGTTCCGCCACGTTCAATTCCTTCCTTGTTTCTTCGTTTCTCATTCTCTCTCTCTTCTCGTTACTTCTTTAATAGCTCGTAAATATCTCACCTCCACTACCTCCAGTTTCTTCACTTGTTCTTCTTTCACTGCCCAAGTCTCTGCGCCATATAGGATTACCGGTCTTACCATAGTCTTGTACACCTTCGTTTTCAGTCTCATTAGCATCCGTTTGTCAAATATTATTCCACCAATATTCCTCCATGTGTTTTCTGTTCCCTCCAGTCTTACCTGTATCTCGCCATCCAGATCACCATACTCCTGCATAGCCAACTGACTAGGTATATGAAGGCTGTTGTTAGCTTCACCAGTTGTCTCCAGCAGTACTACGTTGCTGACCATCCACTGTAATCTGTAATCGTGGCATTGTCTGTCCTCTTAAAACTTGCATTACTGCCGTTTTGCCTTACTCATCCGCATACCACGCCCTGCAGTTCATTATTCCAATTCTTTATTGCTTTTTGTTATTCCTCTGCTTTTTTGATACGCAACCCGATATCACCAACATAAATTACCTTTTGTCCTCGCTGCATTGGGTACCGTTAGCTGATGTAGCCCAACAGTATTAATTATGTACAACAGTGGACTCAAAGCTTAGCCCTAATGTCAGCCCATTTTCACTTCCAATGCCTTGGTTTTACAAAAGCATGTTATCATTTGAGTGCTCGGTGTTGATATGTGCAGAGCCATCACCTGTTGATATGTGTACAGAGCCATCACCATGGTTGTCAGTTCGTCTGGACCGTGGTACTGTCGTAGTACTGGTGGGATCATTTCTCTATTCATTTTGACATACGTCTTCTCCAAATCCAGGAGGCCCCAATAATTCTCGTTGGAATTCCAGCTTTCTCTCCCTCATCTGTCTCGGAATGAACATAGCGTCTGTCGTCCTTTTCCATTTCTGAACCCAAAATGTTCTTCTCCCCACGTACGGCTCCACTGACACTTTCATCCTACTGTCTAGTAGTAAGACAAAGACAAATTTATTTCGTACCCTTATTTTACATATTTACACTTCTCGTTGAAATCGTTCCGCTACTGCTCCGCTCAGCTTCGTACCTTCGTTTCTACCAGCCATAGTTCCTTCCTACCAAATCTCTCTAGTCTCAGTGTTGCCATGCATCACTGGTTTATACTGTGTTCTCAAATAGCCTATTGGTTTGGAGGCTGCCGAATTTTATGGCGGGTAGACGCTCAACAGCTCTCGCACTGTTAGAAACTGTCCTTGGCGGAATACCCATGTAGACTCCAATTCGTGGTGTTTCTTATAACCAGTATACTACAGTTACGGAAAGGCTTCCTTCCGTTTGGGTCGAGGTAATCACCTTGAGTTATATACTACACAGCGAAGCCGGTCGCGTACCGCAGTATAGTCGTTTCCAAGCACAAATATAATGAAGGTGCTTCTGGAGGGATCGTCCACTAGCGTTACCTACAAGCATGGTTGGATCCCCTAGCCTTTGCTTTAGAAAGCTTACCGCAAAGCAGCGGGTCTGATCTGTGTAATATGTTCCTTTGCTTTTTATCGCAACACAACGTCTGCTCAGACCGACTTGATCGAGGTTCTCTTTCGTTAAAACCTTTAAAGTGGTGCAAGTCTTCCTTACCTATCGTAATTTAAAAACTCTGGAAATTTATACGGTTTCATCTTTTACAGTAAAACTTAAAAAGTTCTTTCTCCAATGGAACTAAAATGTGGGTGAATTTTCCAGCGCTTTATGCAAACATGTTGTGCTTTGTCAATGCTTTGGTAACAGGTCATGTATACAATATACTGTTTAGTTATATTATGAGGGACATTCGGAAGAATATCTTTGTGGTAACTGTGCAAACATTACTTTTTCTCTCTTTAAATAAGTATTAACTAACTAACTGCGTAAGGCAGTATCGTCAATACCTGAGGTGATAGCATACCCGCATACCCGTGCAATTATGAAAATAATTTTGTTTGTATTATAAAATAATAATTAGCTAACTTTGTTCCACTGTATGAATTCTATAATTATGCGAGCTACGTGTTGTCCATGCTGGTACTCACCTGAAGAAATATAGTAGACAAGACTGACTGGTTTAACACTTGGGAATAGAAAAACTGCGCTCTTCGCGTCTATCATGACTGGATAAAACGTTGCTGCATCATATGCTGTGATGACTGTTTGTTGAGATGTAGAAAAAGTTGATTTGATTGGATAACTTCCACCAGTAGGAATCACAAGTCGCTGAGCTGTTCGACCAGGAAGAGTTACGAGAATTACGACACCTTTTCCGTAATGGTTCACAATTGTGACATCCAGATGGTAAATAATAACTGAAATATTGTCAAAAAATCATAAAAAGATTCAATCATACGTTACGTCTTACATACCCGTAGTTTAAATGTTTGAAAGCAGCAGTCCAAGTTATTCAAGACACATGAAATGCAGAATGCAGGTCCGTAGTCAAAGATGTTAGCACTATAGCCAAAATGTACATCCTTCGTCTACTTAAATTAAATGTCAGGGACCAAATTAAGTTTAGTATTTCTTGCGGAGAGGAGCTAAATTAGAAAGTGGACGATAATTTATTTTCATAAGGAAATACTCGCATATTTGTTATCATTCATTGAGAACTTTTAACTAAATATTGTCACTACCACAAATGTAACACAATTAACGATCTAAGATTTAAAGGCATGTGTGTATCGATAGAAGGCAATCTACAGGTTTAAGTCTTGGCATGGTCATCTTCTTTTCAAATCAATGAATAAAGTAACAAAGTGATAGATCAACTTTACCATTTCCAGTTGTAGAAGTTGGTGATTCCGTTGTTACAACATCAGTCGGAGCTTGTGTTTTTAGAGCATCAGTTGAGCCTTGTGTCGACAGAGCATCAGTTGGAGCATGTGTTGATACAACATCAATTGGAACTTGTGCTAAAACAAAATGAGTTGGAGGTAATGGGTTGGGGTCGAAAGCAATGATATAAAATAAGGTACAGTAAATTTCCGCTAAATCTGAAATGTCTGAAAACAATAAATATTACCACATTGCCCATGCTGTAACTCACCTGAAGGAATATAGTAGATACGACTGACTGGTGTAATACTTGGAAATACAAAAACTGCGGTCTTGTCATCTATCATGACCGGAATAAACGTTGCTGCATCATATGCTGTGACGACTGTTTGTTGACGTGTAGAAAATGTCGATTTGATTGGATAACTTCCACCAACAGGAATCACAAATCGCTGAGCTGCTCGACCAGGAAGTGTTACGAGAATTATGACATCTTTTCCGTAACGGTTCACAATTGTGACATCCAGATGGTAAATAATAACTGAAATATTGTCAAAAAGTTATAAAAAAAATTAAATTGTACGTTACAGCACGTCTTAAATACTTGAAGTTTAAATGTTTGAAAACAATACAGAATCGAATGCAGGTCCGTATTCAAGTAGCTAAAATGCACAATGTATCTTTCAAACAAAATGTATCTTTCGACTCAAATTAAATGCCAGGAACAAAAATTAAGTTTAGCATCACTTAGGGAGAGGAGCTAAATTAGAAAGTGGACGATAATTTACATTACCAGAAATTCGAGACAAGATGACTGTGTGCGTGCGCATAAGTCACAATAGGAACTACAAAGCCAGTTATTGCTTATTTTTCTTCCCATGTGTATCTTAGCTACATGATCAAGCCAAAAACGTGCACTATAAACTTCTAGCTCTGCACGGTTCCCGAGCGTGGTTCTCGGTTCTCTGCATGGTTCTCGGTTCCAAAAGCCACTCAATGTTCATCTTTTCTTGCTCTTTTGGGCAGTCGAAGGGTACAGTGGTATGCAATGCAAAATATTAAATTATTGTGTTATTCAAACCTATAGAAACCATTGTCTTTAAACTAATTTGGTACACGTTTATTAGCATAGCATGACCATGCAATTGCCATGAAGGTCAAAAGTAATTTTTTTGTGAATTTCAATTATTATGTAATTAACGAGGATGCAAATGTCCCAAATTTCTGGTAATGATTTTCATAACGAAATACTCGTATATTTATTAACATTAATTGAGAACTTTTAACTAAATATTGGCACAACCACAAATGTAACTAATACAATGGTTTCAAATTTAACGGGCATGTGTGTGCAGATAAAAGGCAATCTACAGGTTTCAATCTTAACATATACTGTACATGTACTGTTGTGGTACGTCATCGTCTTTTCAACTCAATGAATAAAAATGAAGTAACCGATCAAGTTTACCTATTCCAGTTGTAGAGGTTGGTGATTCCGTTGTTACAGCATCAGTTGCAGCTTGTGTTTTTAGAGCATCAGTTGAGCCTTGTGTTGACACAGCATCAGATGAAACTTGTGTTGAAACAGAATGAGTTCGAGCTAATTGCGTTGGAAATGAAAGCAATGATATAAAAGAAGGTACCGTAAGTCTCCGCTAACACTGTAATGTCTAAAAACAATGAATATTCCTTGGAATTCTTGCATAAAATTTGTTCATAAGAATACACAAATTTGGCTAATGCCTGTTTTTTACATCGCTGTCCGGCAATGCAGATCTTTGGATAACGGGTATGCGCAGGTTTTTTTGTTTATTTATTTATTTAGCTTCAACACAACAGCATGTGCCAATTATTGTGCAGGGCCCTTTTACCTAACTCACCCTGTCAACTTTCCCTGTGGGAGGAAATCGGAGTACCCGGAGAAAACCCACGACGTTCGGCAGAGCGTTGACTTTTACTCTTTTCACATGAGGACTGGGTTCGAGTCGCATTGAGAAAGTTCTCACTGAGATTTGAACCTGCGACCTTAGAGGTGAAAGGCTAAGCACTTCACTCCCAGTTTACAAAAAGGATAAGTTAGAACAGAGGTAGCTACGGATTTCAATTATGAAAATAATGATTTATTTCAATTATAAAAATAATATTTTGCTAACTTGTTCCAGTGCATGAATAGACCATATGCATAATGACGTCACAAGGCGTGATGCCCGCGAGAAATGCTGGTCTTAGTAGTCATCGCTAGGGAAAATTTCGATAGTGGCCATTTTGAATTGTTTAATTTTCGTGGACGATGACTATTAAGACCAGTGTTTCTCGAGGGCATTAAGCCTTGTGACGTCATTATGCATAAGGTCTAATCGAGAAGGGCCGACTCGAACCGGGTAACTCGCGAAGATTAGACTATCTCTATGAATTCTGTAACTATGCGAGTTACCCATGCAGCCGGAGTGGAAAATTAGGTATAAACAAAGGTTATTCAAGTGTTGTCCATGCTCTAACTCACCTGAAGAAATATAGTAGTTAAGACTGACTGGTGTAACACTTGGAAATACAAAAACTGCGCTCTTGCCGTTTATCATGACTGGAATAAACGTTTCTGCATCATATGCTGTGATGACTATTTGTTGACGTGTAGAAGGTGTTGATTTGATTGGATAACTTCCACCAACAGGAATCACAAATCGCTGATGTGCTCGACCAGGAAAGGTCATGATAATTATGACATTTTTTTGGCAATGGTTCACAATTGTGACATCGAGATGGTAATTAATAACTGCTGAAATATTGTCAAGAAATTATAAAAAAATAAACCGTAAGGTTACAGCACGTCTTAAATTAAACGCCAGGAACCAGGAGCTAAATTAGAATATGTGCGCTAATTTATCTCCTTAGTGAAATACTCGCATATTTATTGACATATTAACAAAAAACAAAGTAAAAGATCAAGTTTACCGATTCCAGTGGTAGATGTTGGTGCTTCCGTTGTTACAACATCAGGCAAGCCTTGTATTGACACAGTGTTAACTGGAACTTGTGTTGTTTCTGGGGCTATATAGGACATAGGGAGCAAAATTAATAAAATGCTTTAGGTCACGAATCAGTACTGTATATACCCATATGAAATACAAAATTTAAACGTAAAATTTGCTAAGCTTATGATTACCATGCATGAGTTACATAAATAAGTAGGCATGCTATAATGTATCATCGAGCTGTCTATAAGGTGCTCAGGATAGTATTAAAGATAGAAGCGGGCCAGGAGTGAGACAAGATCTAATGCGAGATAATAGCTTCAATCTCGTAGCAACCTGGATATCGAAAGATTCTGTATGTTCTTTCCAGTCTAACTGGAAATCTAAGATTACACCAAGCCATTTGAAGTTTGAAACCTGTTTTACCATAGAAATAGACAGTAAAGTTGGGATCTTTCCAAGCTTGTATCTTGTATCAAAAAGTAGAGTTTTTGTTCTAGTTTCGCTTAGAATCAATTTATTTTCATTCATTCATGATGTGTTTTTTTGCAAATCATTCTATGCGCTTTATGTCATTTATCGAGATAGCTGAGAATTAAACAACAGTATCATCCGCACATACTTTAGAGCATTTATCCGCCTGGAGGTAAGTTGTCTATTGATAAAAAATGGTCAAAGGATAGGTCCTTGTGGTACTCTGTGATTCACGCTTGAAGTGCTGGATATACAGTATATTCCGGAGTACTATGTATCTTTTGTGTTCATGAAGTCAAATATTCACGAAACCAATCTAAACTATTATTTCGTACACCATGCACAAACCACAGTGGTTTGGTTTGTAAAGCAAATAATCATGATTGACACGTCCAATGCTTTTTTGAGGTCGATAAATATTGATCCAGTAAGTAGTTGTTGATCAATAAATGGGTACACCTTGTTGTAAATTGTGTAAATTCGCCTGCCAGTACGCGCGGACATGTATTCTTGAATAGCCTTGCGACGTAACAGCACAACTCAAGCGTGCTAAATTTCATTGCAATTTTCGCAACTGCTCTTGGTTAGGTCCGAATATAAATGTATAAAAAATTCCACTCGAAATTTCCATCTGAAAATCCCATCAACAATTAATAAACAAAATATCACGTTACAAACAGGCCAAGTTCATGCTGTGAAATGCATGTTTTCCACAATTATATGTAGCCTCATATTTATAAAGTCTACCGAGTGGCGAAATCTATAGTCGATTCTTGGAAGGACAAGTATTGAAACTGACTATATGTTATTGGAAAGTGACAAATCGATTTTGCAAGCGCCAAGTCATGTAAAAGCATTACTTTTTTCTTCGACAGACACCGTTACAAACGCCAACATGGCAAGACGTGGTGGGCCTACGTGCGTTTATCTGAAAACTTAGTTCTATATCGATCAGATAATTAATCGCGGGAAAATCAACACAGGAAATACAGTAATGCATGCAAACTTAGGATTTCATCTTATCGTTCAATAAAGAAATTGAAATGTTTTCATGATAAATATGACGCCAAAGAATTCGCCTGAATTTTCCAACAGCGCCACAGTTGGGAAAAATCAGAAACCGACTCGATAGAGATTTTATGAATTGCGCATCTAGATTCAAGAAGACAGAAAACGCGCAAACAGTCAGCACGTTTCATATAAAGGCCAAGACACACCGGACGCGATTCGATAACGCGGCGCGATTGTTCAGTTTTTGAAAGTTAATAAAACAGCCAATGGAAGGAAATTTGAAAAGAAATCTAGATCAAAGACCTCAAAATGTTATAGCGCAGGATCAAAGTTATCGGTCAGTGAAAATCGAAAAATCGCGCAGAGTTGTCAAATCGCGTCCGGTGTGTCATGGCCTTAAAAGCGCGCATACAAAGTCATATACCAAATACAGTTTACAGTTCTCACCATATAGTAAAAAATAACGTCAAGTACTTACGCGCTAAACATAGACAATATGCGACGGAAACCACGAATAGCCACGAGCGCATGTTTTCTAGTTCTCATTCGAAAATCGTCGGAGCACTGGAAGAAAGCAATCTAGAACAGCAATCACTTCGGACTTCCTATATTATTACAACAACACATTATTTCAATTATAATCTAAAGCTGATCATATCCTTCAACGAAAGGGTCATATTCTACCTTGTGACGACAAGAATGCCACTACAATTTTTGTATCTGCCATTTTCTCTCAATTTATCTGAAAGCGCAGAAATTTCAAATTTGAGAAAGTTTGTTCAATTATTTTGTGATACTTTCCAGATCATGAAATATTTGAGGAAAACTTTCTCAATAAGGTCAATTTCCAAAATTTTCAAAATTGGAAATTTCGGTTACTTTCCAAAATAAATTGAGAGAAATATTTTGTACTTGTATTAATTTTGTATCTGCCCATCGCATATATATGCTGTTAAATTAAAGCGAAAAAGTTGAATCTGGTCTAAAATATATTTACTGAAATAGTAAAAGGCTGCAATACAAAAAATTTAAAACCCTACATTTTCGGTTACTAACTGCAGTTATGTTTATCGTTGTGTAGTGTGACCGGGCCTTAATTGTCACTGAAGTTGTTGACGCAGCCATATGTTGTTGTTCAAATCTCAACACCTCTCTTATCACCATAGATAGTGCATCTAATTATTCTACAATTCAAAAATTGAAGCCGTGATTGCAGACCCAGGATATTCCCATGAAATGAGAAGATTCGCATGTTTTCTTTTTCTTAAATACGGAACTTAAATAGTAAGGTAAACTTATTCCAAATACATTTTTAAACTATTCAAATGATGAAAGTTATTGTTTTTTTAAGCGTTTATTAGCGAGTGGGAAACTTCAACATGGCCGCCATCTATTCAAATGGGGGTAACCGCTGGAATATTCTTGGCTTCAATTTTACTAAAAGAGATGCGCTATCTAGTACTTATCACCCAGTGGAAAGATTCTGTACAATGTACAATGTACATTGACAATAAAGTCAATTAGCCTTTCTCATGCGGGCCAATATCCACATGTTTTGGGGTAGTGTCTTCCCTCGTCAAATAATCTATTATATGGACAATTGACAATGACAGTGTGAGAAGTGACTTTCCAAAGTTGTAACTGTAATTACAATTAGACACGCAACTACAGTGATAAAATTGCATTTTGCGGTCCGTACACTCGCAGACTTGGCCGGGGAGAGGCAATACCCCAAAAGTGGATATAGCGAGTGTAAGAAAGGCTATTTAAACCATCAAAATCAATTCTAAAACATACAAATATTTATATTTCAAACACCACATATAGTTTCGCATAACAAACTATTTTTGTACATATACCATTCAATAGTCCTATATATTCTATATATAATTTATCTACTATAACACAGCCTGATTTACGTTCCACATGCATTTTATGCCCACACAGTTTGAATCTCCGACATGTGTCATCATGTATACGTTTCCATTTTTGTATGGCAGGATAGTTTTGTTAACTTTATCAAAAAAGATTGTTGAAATTATCTTTTCCCCTTATTCCATTTACGTAATGGACCCTTGTTTTCCCCTTATTCCATTCATCTAATTCCCCTCATCCCATTCAGTAATGGACATCTAAAGTCGCTATCAATAAACACTTCCCACATTTGCTGGCTAGCAGTGAAAACTATACATATTTACAAAGGTATTGTTTCGTGTGCAATCAAGCAAATGCGGGAAGTGTCTATCCCAAGTAACACCACCGACCAAATCAGCTAACGCGTTATGATGCAAGTTGTACCCAGTCATATGTTAATGCTTAGTTAGCCTTGTTCCTACATTCTAGTACTGGAAACTAGAGGAGCAACCGCATCTAAGTCGTAAGAACAAAGCTCACTGACTCAAAACTAAAACTGCATGGATAGAGTACCCTTTTGAATTCAATGAATCAAGCCAGAATATTTTTAATGAGACGAAATTTTGTCTGTCAATCTTTACGAATCAAATTGTCAGGTGCTTAAATTAGCCTTACTGTCAATTAAATATCTTTTCTTAGGAACCTCGGAAAATACAGCTTCTCGCATCTCTTCCAATGATTTAAAAACGCTTTAAACATTATATGAGACTTGAGGCAGCCTTTTAGGTGTGACCTCATCAGTTATTCACAAGCAAATTTAAGACGTCGACGAAAGAGAGACCACTGGTGGCTAATTTCTATGTAGACAATACGTGTAATTTCCCAACAATAACCTGAAACTGTAAGAGCCTCTTCCAATAACATGTCAGCAATACCACAGGAGGCCCAGGCTCGATTTGCCCGCGCCCGCCTGTGCCTTCCTTATAACGAGGGAAGAACGGGGACATTGAGACCAAAATAGCCCAGACTTGGCATATGTCACACGAAACTATCCTCGATTTTTCGCTTTTAATGCATTTCTTTCACGATTAATCGATATTCCCTGCAAGAATGATACCGTATAACTCTCAAAACAACGATGCTTTAATCAAAGAGCTTAAATTCGCTCTGAAATCCGTGAGAGAATAACAAAATTCGGCCAAAATATATCCGTGTGCCGGGTTTGCTGTGCAAAAAGTGGAATTCGTTGAACAACTCAAAATACACTCAACCTGATTGGACAACGAATTTCAACAAACATTTCAAATTTTTTTAACAGTACTGTAATAATTTCAATCATACAATCAAATCTATTCACAAATGTTATAAAGTGTAAATATTACTGCTAGTAAATATAACTGTAGTACGTTAATATGTATAATAAATTGTATTTCACATTGTGTTTGTTAAAAAAATTTGAAATGTTTGTTGATATTCGTTGTCCAATCAGGGTTGAGTGTATTTTGAGTTGTTCAACGACTTCCGCTTTTTGCACAGCAAACCCGGCATGCGGATATATTTTGGCCGAATTTTGTTATTCCCTCACGGATTTCAGAGCGAATTTAAGCTCTTTGATTAAAGCATCGTTGTTTTGAGAGTTATACGGTATCATTCTTGCAGGGGATATCGATTAATCGTGAAATGCATTAAAAGCGAAAAATCGAGGATAGTTTCGTGTGACATATGCCAAGTCTGGGCTATTTTGGTCTCGATGTCTCCGTCCTTCCTTCGTTATAAGAAAGGCACAGGCGGGCGCGGGCAAATCGAGCCTGGGCCTCCTGTGGCAATACCACCGCAGATCCGTGCACGTCGCACCAACGTGGCTGCCACTGGCTTCACGTAGGCGTAACATTTTCACTATTTCCACTTACAGACAAATATTTCGTCGTCCAAAATAGTTCGCTTGATTTTGGTAATTGTAACCATCGGAATAAATCAGTTTAGATTTAAAGTGTCTATCACTCTTCCGTTCCATCACTAATCATGTGAGGTATCCGTAAATGTGAATTGGGTAGCAATGTCAATGGGCATGTTAGCTGATTAGGCCTGCATGTGACTGTCTGACTGTATGTATAAACAGTTAGGATTATAAAAAGCATCTGTCAGAGTCAGATCCTTGGTATATTAGTTGTTTAACAAAGCGGTTCCTTCACGTCCTGTTAACAAAACATCAATCCACACACTCATTGCCAAAGCGTTATCAGCTGCTATTGTGTATGTCTTTAAAGGCGTTTTCACACAGAACGAGGACTTTCCTAAATTACCTCTTGTCTCACCGTCATGATCGACATAAACTTCTTGAATAGCTTGGAAATAAATAATAGCCCGAGGCTCTTTCTTGCTTTGATCTTTATAATATACTAAGGCTTTCATTCTACGATCAAACACAAACCATCTTTTTTTCCAGGAAATCTTAATTTTCCCGCCTTTTTTCTCCAGGTAACCGCGGCAACATGATGGCGTGACATTCACACTTGGACAGTTGTCAAGGAGGTGACCAGTGGAGAGAAGATGGCGGACTAAGTCCAAGTCAACAACAGATAACCGTCCATCTCCATGAACCTAAAGACACAAAAGCGTTAAAAAAACTTTGTTTATTTGAAATTCAATATTTAACAATTATTGCATATTGAATGAGGTTGTGACAATTATCAAGCCAGAAGTTTCTGTTATCAAACGAAGCCGAAAGCTGAGATTGGCAACAAGTCGAGTATAGCAGTAGTTTTTTCATATTCAACGTTGAACATTATGTCGAAACTCGTTTGGTCAGCTATTGAATTCATATGACGATATCACAGTCAAAATATTCATGGCTTATGATTGGCTAATATGGCACTCGCCAATCATAAGCCATGAATATTTTAAATAAATAATAACTAAATTTAACAAAAAATCCTAGCATTTCAAAATTTTCGTTGGTCCAACCAATTTGATGTACATTACTATTAAAATCTTTCAAATACATGTTAAGACATATTCGTGATCTGGTGCCACTTAACACGCTAGTTGACATATACACATCTATCACTCTCCCCCATTTTGATTACTGTAGTTCTGTGTGGGATAATTGCAGAAAAGGTTTACGGGATTTACAAGTTTTTGACCCTTCTGTAAGAAATTATGTGTTTAAAGATTAACCAAGTTATACTGAAATAGTGTCTACTTTCTTTTAGTTTCCAAATGTATTTCCAAAGTTCTCATCTACTTGAAGATTCCTTCATTGGATGAAACAGGCTGTAGTGCCAACTTTGAGGCAAGCGAAACTGAATTGTACTATTTGCTCTTTCTATCTACTTTCTAGCGTTTTGTGAACCAAAACACACTGGTGTACTTGATGGTTTATACAGGGTGTCCCAAGGATGCGTAAACACAATAGAAAGGAATTTCATGCTTGGGGATGTACTAACTGTATAACGTGGACAATTAGGCCCCGTTTACATGAGACCGGAACGAAGTCAAACCGGGACCATTTCGTTTCGGTCATAGTATTATTAATAATAAATGTTCACATGAGACCGGGACGAAAATAACTTAGACCGGTCTCAAGTCGGAATCCTGCTGGACCGAGCCGATTGACTTCAGACCGGCATCAATTCTGACTGGGATGAATGTAAACACAAATACATTTCAGACCGGTCTCGGCCGTAACCTTGACATTGGAACAACACATGCCAACAAAAGCCATCTAAAAAAGAAAATGGGAATAAATGGGAATAAATTGAAAATTTTGTACCGATCTCATGTAAACATGTTGACAATTTCAATTTTCATTCCGGTTTGACTTCATCACGGTCTCATGTAAACAGGACGTATTTTCAAACCTTAGAACGTATTTTCAAATCCCAGGAGCATAATAAAGGCATTGAAGTAGTAATTAGCAGTGGCTGTTATGGAAATTATACAGTAGGGTTGCAGTTTTTGAGACACCCTGTATACTTACCGACGATGGCGGTCTTCCATTTCCTATCACCACCACTTCTCTTCCTTCTAATTCTTTCTCGCTTTCCTCTCTTCTCTTCCGTTCTTCCTCAAGTTCCGTTTCCAAATCTTTGATCTTCTTCTGATACTCTAAATCTTTTTCATTTAAAGATGCCATCTCCCGCTCTTTTAACAACAAACGTTCTTCTTGTTCACGTACTTGCTCAAACTGTTGCCGTAATTTCTCACGCTCTGCCACGAGTTCATCAGACTCAGCTGGTTTCTTACCAACATCCTCCGACGAGTTCGTACGTTTAGATGAGGAAACGCTACTTGTTGGAGACTGGCGACCTAGTGATGACGCCGAGGACATAGTCCGTAACATTTCCTGACGGAATTTCTCAAATTCTTCTTGTTTTTCCTTTTCAAGTTGATTGCGCAAGGATACTTTCTCCTCTTCAGCTCGAAGCAAAAGCTCTTTATACTTCTTTTCAATGTTTGTCAGACGTACCTTATCGCGTACCATTTGCTCTTGTTGTCGTTGTCGGTCTAATTGTAATTTCTTCCTTTCTTCTTCGACATTTCGTAATGCAGAAGTATGCTCTCTTTTTATTTCTTCCAATTTTAGTTTTTCCATTTCTAACTTTCGTTTTTCCTCCTGACGTTCACATTCGTAATGAGCTTCAATAAGTTTGCGTTCTCGTTCCATTTGCTCAGCGGCTTCGCGTTGTTTTAGCTCCAGCTCCTCAAGCATAAGTTGTTCAGTTTCAAAAAATTCAAATTCCAGTTGACGCTCTTTCTCCATTTTCTCTTGTGTTGTCAACATGGACTGTTCTAAGCCAATCAACTGATCGTTGTATTTATTTTGCAAATCTGCCAGACGTTGTTTCTCAGCTTGGATTTCTTGTTTCCCTTGTTCTCGTTCTTGAAAAGCTTTTTCAATAATTTCTAATCTTTCTTGTTCTAATGCTTCAAGTTTCGCCTTCTCTTCTTCTAACGATTTAATATCCTTCTCACGGTCTTCTTGAAGACTGATTCTTTCCATTTCGACTTGTGCTAGAGCAATCTGTTGTTGTTTTGCTAGCTCATCAATTCTCTCTCTTTCTGCATTAATCTTCCCTAACTCTAGATCCCTTGTCTCATGCAACTTAACAATTTGATCCTCAAGATCTTTCTCCAACAACTTTACTCTCTCTGCTTGCAGCACTTGAATCTTATTTAACTTTTCTTCCTCATCTTCAAAGTAACGGCCATTTACTTGAGGAACATCATTTTCGTGTCCATTGTATTTTCCTTCCAAGATTAAAAGTTTATCTTCTTCTCGCTTCGTGCTCTTTAACTCGTCTCTTTGTTCTTCTAATTCTTGAATCTGCGCAGTTATTCTCGTTTTAAATTTATCTGCTTCTTCCCTCTGTAGCCGTTCTAGATTGCGTAGTCTACTGCTTTCGTCTTGTAACTGTTTCTTTTCATACTCCAGTCGTCCAAGTACCTCATTATGCTGCTTCTCCCTTTCCAAAAGTCGCGTGTTTTCTTCCTTCAGCCGATCTCTTTCTTGCTGCTCTCGTTTACGTTGCTCGATTGCGAGATCAACCTCTGCAAGAAATTATCAAATTCTCAATTATAACAGCTGTTTACAAATCTGTGCCTTGCGTTCTACAATATGTACTCTATTAACCCGCATATAAGTGCACAAAGGGAAGCTCCATGTTTGTTCGTCAAACGTCAAACGTCAAAGCCATGTTTAAAGTTGTAAGGCAATATAGAAAAAAATGAGTAGTTGGGAATGATAGTTCCAGTTGCCGTTAAACGTGAATCTTAAAATCTTAATCTACCCAAAGTAGATAATGGGCTGCGACACAGATACTGTACGTAGGAAACAATAGCGAAATCTGCGACATCAGATGCATTAATTCTGAAAATCTGACAGAGGTTAACTACAAATCCCTAACTCGCCGGCAGTTGTATACTTCAATTGATCTGTGCATAGTAAAATCGAGAGAAATCTTGTGCATGACATCTATACAGAGTGTCTCAATACCTGTGTTCGATTTATAGTTTTATATTAATATTTTTATACTAATAAAGACTAAAGGAATACCGAATGTTTTCCGTGCAGGATTGCGTGATCCATGCACGCGGGATGTTGCGAGACTTTCGGAAACAACATCTCAAGTGCATGGATCATGCTATCCTGCACGGGAAAACCATTTAGTAATTGTTTTATAAAATTACTACAGTGGAACGACGGTTAACTTGATTAAAATTACTGATGAAATGTGCAGTTCTCACAACAATCGTGAATTAACCAATCGGAGAATCGCTACTCCACGCTATTGAAAACAACAACAAATGTGAACAGAATTTGATCGCAAATTCGCGAAAATATACAGCGAAAATACAGAGACTTTTTCGATAAAATATACGACATTTGAAATGGAAAACCCGCTAAACAGAGAGCCAAAGTAGTTTTAAAGATTCTCGACCTGAATACTTGAAGATTGCGAAGCGTTTGAACTTCGAAGCGAGAGATGTTGTACTTGCCATGGTCTGATAAATTTCAACGCTCCGCGTTGCTACTTGCTGAACAGCAATGTATCGATCAGAAATTTATTCATACAACTAAACCAACGATTCAATAATTGCAAACTTACTTCAAAGTCGAAAGGTATGGTACAATAAAACTTTACAATGCGAGTATATTTGTAAAATTATGTGCAAGAATTTCTGTTCAGAATTTCCGGTGCAGGATTGTCTGATCCTGCACGGCTGTTGACCAATCAAAATGCGTGTTTCACTGTAGTTATTATATAAAAGGCTTTTACAGTAGCTGTGAAATGACACGTATTTTGTGTATCATACGAAACGATTTAAAGTCAAAATCGCATTTTCCCAACGTTCATCTTTGGGAATTGCAAAGATATTGTTCGAATATTGAAATAATTCACATTTCCGAAAACAAATTTAAGAACTTGAATAAACATAGAGCAACGTATGGGCTAATTATCAAGTCTTGGTGAATTTGCAGACGATTTACAGTGACTCACTACTTAACAACGAAATTTAGCGGTTAAAACACTTTACGAAACTGGAAGTTTGTGAACTGCACAAGTATAGTTTCCCATACAGGCAATCGCAATCACCATTTGTTCAGATGTTTGAAAATTGGAAGAACTTTCATTCCCAAAGGTGGAATTTCGACCAGCTACTTTAAATCGATTGTATTGGGCCATTTTTTGATCGCATTGATCCAAAAGGTAAGTGGCAGCTATAAAAGCATGTTCTTTATTAGTGTGAGAAAATAAATATAAAATAATATTTAACGTACACTAACATGCCAAAGTTGAATAATTTTTTTATACGCCCTGTGACAGGAAAGTTATTGCTGTGCCAACCTGGCAACTCCCTGTACTTACCCGGATAGTACTTGTCAGGCATGATAGAAAATCTATTTCCTGGATTATTTTCACGAATTCGTTTCGCTTCTTTAGGATGATTGAAGCGAAAGTAGTTCGACTTCCCCAGACAGACCATACAACCTAAAAATATTGGTAAAAATTGTACAAAATCTCCTTTGCTTTAGACAAATTTCACGGCAAAAGACTTTTCCAATCTCTGATAAGAAAGTTTAGAATTTTGCTGTGTGTTATAGTACTGTAAAATATTTTCGATGATAATTTTAGCAGTGTGTCTCGGGACAACTCGTTTTTCACAGTACACATGGTTGGATAACAGCGATAAAAGGGCGAGAGGACAACTGAAATTTGAAACGTGATGCACATTGGAAGTATTCCAGATCATATACAGTATAATCATGTCATTTATTCAGAAAGAAAGAAAGGGAGGAAAAGAACATGCATGTATGATCATGTCTTATTTGTTAAGCATTATCGATTCCTCCTATCTTCGTTTGCACCATAATAAAATATCGTTCGCCGTAGCTGTATTATTAGGGACCTGAAGCATGTACAACGACAACGGATTTCTGGTTGAAAACACTTCTACTGGGCCAATTTGTAGCCAACTGATGTCGGGCATAATAGCAATTTTTGCATTCTAGGTTAGATTTTCTTCTTCTGATGCATGCGAACGAGTGGATGAATTATAAATGTTCAGATTATGGTACATGCAGTATACCCAGAACGTTCATAATTCATCTGCTCGTTCACATGCATCAGAAAATCGCAGTAGAAATCGCAGCAAAAATTGCAAGTGTAAACGGGACAGATGAAGCTGAACATAGGGGGAAAACCTCGTTACAGTTGATTTCACAACTTTTCGCTAAATGTTACAAGCCTGTCTGAAACTTCGTTCTGAAACTTCGTTCTGAAACTTCGTTTAATTCGATTGTAAACAAAGCCTCTGATTGGCTCCCGAACTAAAAGAAGCCAATCAAATACATTGTTTACAAACGGTTTGTGAATATGATTATGAACTTTTGAACTTCGCAACGAAATTTGGAACGAACTTTGCAACATTTAGGGAAAAGTTATGTGAAATCAACTGCAATACCATGGGTGGGTGCTAACTTCCAGAAGAAAGGCCTTTGCTCAAAAGGTCGAAGTTCCGTTTATATTTTTCAGGTAGTTATATCATCTACAAGCGTCCGCAATTTGTATTCTTCGCTACCTAGACTGGCACCCACCGTTCGAGTTTATATATAGGACCGCATCAATGACATGTACCTTGTGGTAGTTTCGTTGGTTCGGTGATTGGAACTCCGTCAATTGAACACAGATTGGCTTTAGGATACAACATCACTGTTTCACCATCGTACTCCGCTATGCAATGTTCTCTAAATAAAACATATTCATTGTCAAGACGAAATGTAGTTGTGTAGAAGTCGACCTTCTTCATGACGTCACCAAGTGATTTGGTAACACGGAAGAAAACTGGACAAACTGTCTGATAGAAATCCATGTTCGGCTTAAAGTCAGTTACAGACGAGCATGTTTTCTATGATAAGTTTTCATGTGACAAGTATTCTTTGTCAATTGCACGTGTGCATGTACGTATACAACAAATTTCCTATGACAAGCTTTTTGTTTTCTGACTGCCACGATTAGCTACAGTACATGTATAATAAACTATTATAATAATAATAATAATAATTTATTCATTTAAATAAAGCGCATATGTTATATTATATACTCGAAGCGCTGTACATTATAAAAATCTAAATATATTAAGAATTAAATATGCTATATAAAACATGGTATTGTATGCAATTAGAATATACACTAATGTATGTATCTATAATAAGAATGAAGAATCCAATATGGTCTCAACCTATAAAGGGTTATAAGCCTTATTGAAAAGAAATGTTTTCAAGCGTTTCTTAAACACAGAAATGTTTTCACAGTTCCTGACATCCAGAGGCAGAGAATTCCATAATTGTGGAGCAGCATGTGCGAAAGCCCGATCTCCTAGAGTCTTACAGTTTGTTTTCGGGATGTATAATAGACCTTGACCACCATCCAATCGTAATGTCCAGCGATCACTTGATTGTTTTGGTATAAGCATTTCAGAGATATAGATAGGAGCAATGTTATTAAGAGCCTTGTAAACCGGTAAAGCAATTTTGAATTCCACCCGGAATTTTACCGGTAGCCAGTGAAGTGATCTCAAAACTGGGGTGATGCGAGAAAATCTTGGACAGTGGTAGATTTGTCTAGCAGCGGCATTAAGAACTCTCTGCATTCGCTGGACTTGATACTGAGGTATGCCAGCCAACAGAGCATTACAATAGTCCATGTGTGATGTCACGAAAGCATGTATCAAAGTTTTCGTTGTATTAGTAGATAAAAATTTTCTAACTTGTCGTATTTTATAAAGTCCTCTGAATGCTTTACTGCACATCTTGCCTACATGAACTGACATTGACATATGCTTGTCAGTATTACTGTACAACAACAGAACAGATTATTTTGCCAAATTTTCTTTGTCGACCCATATGAACGAACCAAATGTGTACTTTGCCAATTTTTTCTATGACTAGTAAGCACACTTGTTCAAAAACGAATAGGCTAAAATCGTGGGCATGACAGGTTGAGACCCCATACAAAATTCGCTAAACTCCATGTTGAATGATGTTGCCCTTCTTAAGCCCCCGCTCCCCCAACTCAATGCTGAGCTTGTGTCATGGTATATCACCAAAAGTTATTTTGGCGTTGTTAACAAGATTGAGACAAAGTTTTTTGTCAATAATGAATAACATTCTATTATTATATACACAAGGTCGATCTGGATATAAGGTATTTTGCAATTTTGTTTGGTTCTCTACTAGCAGGATATTAGCTCACATCGAGAATATCCTGGCTGCTAGTAAAGAAAATAAAATAGCGGCTCGAACTGAATTTCCGACATCTTGCGAACGAGAAAACGGCAAGTTGTAATAAAACAGTTACTAAAAAAAAACCCCAATTATTCCACTCACTCTCGTCGAATATGAGCGATAGACTCTGATCTGAAATAAGACTGGATAAAGCATCCTATTGAATCCAGTAATCCGATTTTGAAGCCAGAATATTTTAATGAGATGAGATTTATAAATCAGTCAAATTCATCACCAGTCTTATCGTTTGCTGTTTAAGTTCAGTTAGACTACAAAGCAAATATCTTCGCCTATGTGACTTGTGAAATATAGCTTCCAAAACCTTTTCGAAGTAGTTTTATAAAATTTTATAGACCACATAATCAGGCTTATAGCGGCCATATTTGATGGCAATTTATTCACCGGCAAATTTAGAAAAAGAGGGAGGCTACTGATGATAAATTTTATCTAGGCAATATTTGTCTTGAATTATTTAACAATTACTCGCCGAAGGCAAGGTGATGATTGGGGGATATTGTTTTAGTATTTTACACAAGTCTTTTGTGTTTTTTGGGACTAAACTATTTCTGTATTAGTAACTTCTAAAAACAGTTAGCCGCCATTTTGCAAATTTCGGCTTAAATTTGCAAAATTAAAAAAACAGCTTAATACGTCAAATTTGCATGACCAGTCAACTTGTAGGATTTGTTATATCCACTTGTACAAAAATACTAAACCCCCAACCTAAATATCTGACTAATCTTCTGCAGAAGTTTCAACAGTGATTTTTGCAAGCACGAAAGCCCCATAGGCTGTATTTACAATTTGCTTAGCATATATTTGAGTACCAAAAATTAGTGATATAATTTGAAACTTCAGAAACTGACATTTGCAGCATTTGATATAGTCATGATTTTTCGAATTACAATCACATATAGACATTATAGTACACTTTATGCTCGTCTTGGTATACCGTATTATGTGGGTCAACAAAGAAAATTTTACCAAGTTATTGTGGTGACCAGAAAACATGGTTCTCACGTACACGTTTGCAATCGGCAGAAAACTTGCTTGTCTGTAAAAGGTTTTACTGTATATATATACAGTATATATTGTGAACCGGCCACTAACATTAAACAGCTACGACCAGATATATAAACCAGGCAGTTTAGACCCGAAACAGAGATAAAGTCGATTTGCATACAGCCAGCTACTGCTAGCCAGACTGAACCTACAGAAGCAGCCGGTTATTTAGGGAAAGAACAAGCACTAGTGGGTACACTAGTTGCTACTAAATAAAAAAAATTGTATCTACTAGTCTAGCTGTGATAACGACATATCTTGCAAAACACTGCTGAAGATGAATCAGATTTGATTCGAAATATACAGTTTTTATAAATTGGGTGTTAATATTATGCACTCCTTATTCGGAATAACTTTTGTTTTATTTTTGCTGAAATTATCAGCCGGAAAAGCACTATGTACCCAACGTCTTCCGCAAGTTACAGTATATATAGGTCCAGAGTTCGAAAGCGAGAGTTTGCATGAGACTTTTGTTCTCAAACGAGACCAAGTGTTACTTACACAAGTGTTGATAAGAGTTGACCTGATATTAATAGTGAAACGAGCAAAACTCTTGTGAACTCTCATCAAATTTTAAACCATGCAGCTCAAAGTTGGCGGAGAGTTGGCGGAGAGAGGGCACAGCTGGGTTAAAAATACGCAAAAGAAACTAAAATCTTCTCCGATTTGATCTCACGTCAACATGCTGGGCCTTTAAAGGGCCAGTTTTACTTTTGAACACCGCTATCAAAACCACAGTGCTTACCGATTTAAAGTTTTGGACAACATTCAGCGATTCTAGACTGAATTGTTATCGTTAATTGTCGTCGACAGCGAGACGTTATGGATGTTAAACAGAATAACAAGTTTGTAAACAAAACCTCACCGACACAGACACGTACGGACAAACCCCTTCCGCTTACCTTTCGATACCTTTACCATTCAACGCGATGTCAGGCTTGGAATCGCTGGTTGTTAAACCGATCACTGTTTTACCTGGCGACGAAAACAAAGACAATATTTCATCCATGGCTTACTTCAGATTACAACGGACATCCTCAACTATCTGTTAAATTATACTTAAGTGTTCAAACTTATTTGCATCCATCACTTAATAAACGTCTGCAGAGTGACAAAAATGACACGAATACATGTACAAAAATCGTGTCCACATGTACTGTACCGTAAAAATAATCGGAAATTTTCATCGGATATTTCCTTTTCATTGTTTTGAAAATCCCATTGTCCTCCGTTCATCTAGTCACTCGTTGTTTTGACATATTTGTGATGTGTTAGTTCAAAGGGAAATTCTTGTGCTTATGACGCATGCTGAAGTCTACCTCTTTGTTTTGGTCTTTGCCTTTCCTAATGCTGAGACTAATCTGCATACAGGGTGCAACCTCGGAATTTCCTAAGAAATCACTTTACAATTCTTAAGCATAAAAGATTTTAGGCCCCTGGGAATTGAAATCGAATTGCTAATAGATCATGTTACTGTTGTTGTGCAATAAATAAATGCATAAATTTTGCTTTATGCATGCACTCGCGTGTGCAGTAATTTTGACAGTTGTGCTATTTTATCACACTTAGCACACCAAGGCTACGTTTACATTATAGCCAGGTGTCTCAAAAAAAGTATACCTTTTGAAATCAAGCCTTTGTTGGAATTTGAATGCCTTATTACTATACTGAATATTTTTAAAAAATGTTTTCACAACGCTAAGGCCCTGTCACACTATTGCGTATGAAAACGCGTGTGAGAAGCGTTAATTTTCATACGCAGATAATTACAAAATCCCTTGAAATGCCAGCGTAAAGCCGGTTTTCCACTAGCGATTTTTTTCGCGCGCAGCGAATTTATTCCTTTGTCTTTGGGCAATTTGTTCCAGATGGTTGCAGCTGAGAGCTCTAAAACAATAGCAAAATTCGCTTCGCGCGACAAAATTCGCGATTTTTTTCGCGCGAAGCGAATTTATTCCTTTGTCATTGGGCAATTTGTTCCAGATGGTTGCAGCTGAGAGCTCTAAAACAATAGCAAAATTCGCTTCGCGCGAAAAAAATCGCTAGTGGAAAACCGGCTTTAAAGTACCGTACATCTCATAGATATAGGAGATCTAGATTGCTAACGCATACCTAGCGCAGGCGGGGCCTACGTGATAAATCCAAGATGGCGGTACAACAGGGCAAAAAGACTATAAATTCTATTAAGAAAATCAGGATTTTTGCATTTTTTGCCGTCGCATTGTTTTGAAACTTATTCGGTCAAATTTTATGGTAAAGAGAAACGTACCGCGACGATTTTGAGTATATATATGATTGAATTGGATGAAAACTCGCAAAATTATCCATCGATAAATGTTTGTGTATAGTAGTGATATAGTACTATATATGTAACTTGTACAGTCTTGCTTTAATTTTTGCTCACTATTTGCATGAAAAGCAAATTATAACAGACCATAGATGATAGACCCTCATCCAGTGCTCTCATCAGTTTACTTCTCTAACAAGCAAGGAGGGGGGGGGGTACATAACAGTTCATTTTTCATAATTATAAGGACAGAGCAGATGATGATGAGAGATGCAAGTATAAAACACCATTCACAAGGCAAGATGTTAACATAGCACAGTATTTCTGGCAATAAAACGCTCCAACTGACCAACTGACCATTTCACACGAACTTTTATCGATGGATAATTTTGCGATTTTTCATCCAATTCAATCATATATCAGCTCAAAATCTTCGCGGTAAGTTTCTCTTTACCATAAAATTTGACCGAATAAGTTTCGAAACAATGCGACGGCAAAAAATGCAAAATTCCTGATTTTCGTAATAGAATCTATAGTCTTTTTGCCCTGTTGTACCGCCATCTTGGATTTATCATGTAGGCCCCGCCTGCGCTAGGTATGCGTTAGCAATCTAGATCTCCTATATCTATGGTACATCTGGCGTACGTCTAGCGTATTCAGCGTGTGCCTAGAGTATGCTTATCGTATAAACCATACGTCCGAATACGCACAAAATTTCTAAAGGACCTGTCAAATTATTGCGTATCGTACTAGCGTATGCCAGCGTAGGAAAAATATCACTCATACGCCGGTATACGCTGGCATACGCTAGGGGTACGTTAGGCATAGGTTGTATACGTTTCAACCACGGTCGCGTACGGTGGCATACGGCGAGGCAGAAAATTTTTTTAAGCATGCTCAAAAATTTTGTGCGTATCGGACGTATGCTTTATACGATAAGAATACTCTAGGCACACGCTGAATACGCTAGAGGTACGCCAGATGTACGGTACTCATACGCTGGCATTTCAAAGGATTTTGTGCGTATGAAAATTATTTCATTAATTTTCATACGCTTCTCATACGTTTCTCTCATACGCAATAGTGTGACAACGCCTTAAGCATGCTTAAAAATGTTTCTGTCTCGCCGCGCTTCGCCGTATGCCACCGTATGCGACCGTGCTTGAAACGTATACAACCTATGCCGAACGTACCCCTAGCGTGTATGGCAGCGTATACCAGCGCATAAGTGATATTTTTCATACGCTGGCATACGCTAGTATGATTTGCAGTAGTGTGACAGGGCGTTTAGATTTTTCACGTCGTTTTCAAAAAGTACCCTAAAAATGGCGAATTTGGGTCTTCGTGAGAAAGGCTAATTGGAATCGAATTTTATGCATGTACAGTACTTTGAGTTAGTATGTACGTTGAGCGTATAATTTAACACAATAACACACCATGGGTTCAACATAATATGTTAAGGAGTAAGGCATTCAAATTATTACAATAGGTAAAATTTCAAAAGGTGTCCTTTTTTCAGGACACTCGCTGTACAGTATACTCAACTCATGGGTGCGTAATCACAATTGAATCGAATTTTATGCATGTCAAGTTATTTAAAAGTTTTTGGTTTCGTTCAGCATATGATATGATATGTGCTGATCAATTTAACGCAGGGTCGTCAGGGCGTAAAACAGCAAAAACTCGTTGCTCTGTGGTCAGTTAAACATTTTATTCGAACTGATATGACTAATTTGTAATTTGACATTTTTGTGTATTTATTCTCCTTTATGCTCTACAGTGTAGAAGCTATTTTAAATTCCCAAGAGCAGAACATCTTGTGCTTAACAAGGATATTTTAAATTCTAAAGGTCTCTATTTTTAATATACTGTACACTACTGTACAGTAGAGTGTTTGCACTCATTCCGCAGGAACCAACTCAACAAAAGCCATGGCGGCCATGTTGGTGTTCCAGACAAAAGAGTCTAATTAAAATTCTTTTGATGACCAATATGGCGGCTGTGACGTCATGTGCAAACCTCTATACTGGATAGCTTTTCGTAGAGGCGCGAAAAAGCACCTATCCGATACAGAATGTACAACTTTCAGAAGCAGAGCGAAACAACATCTCTCCGTCGCAATAATTCCTCTAAAGATATCGTTCCTAAAAGGTACGGATTCATGTCGCTACGAAAAGCTATCCGATACAGTACAAGTGTAACGAAACCTAAATTAGAGGGATCTCAAACCGATCCGAGGCCGGTTCCTGGGATTTTTTGTGGACGACACTCCACACTTGCACAAAATATTAACCACCATTAATGGTGATCCAGTTTAGATCAATCTCAAATCATTCTCAGCTCGTTGTTGGTTGTATGTACACACTTGGCACATGATTATAACAAGAGAATACTTATGATTTATATGTGGTTTACAGGTATGAATTATTATAAACTGGCCATTGTGAAAGTATTATAAAGTATTATAAGTATTATAATACTTTAAGTATATAAGTATTATAAACTTGCCGTTGTGACTCTATTTTTACGACCATTACGACTATATGGAAACCAGGCTTTAAAGTAGGTAATAGACGAGATAACAATAAGACAAAAAACAGTGTAGTTTTGCATACCTAGTTTGACTGGACACATTGTCACACCAACGCTCAATCTTCCTCCACCCAATGTTATAAAATGAGGTTCATCAGTTTCGAATTTTAATCCTTGTCCCAACGCAGTCACTTCAAGAGCTTGATCCTGAAAAATAGATATGTTAAAGATTTATTTTATCTTTTACATTTACAACTTTATATTTTGATCAGTAATGTCCCCGATATCAAACGAAGATGAGAGTTGATAAGAGTTGCAATTCTCGCTCGCGCTTGACCGCAAACTTTCATCAACTCTCGTGAGTCTCGTCAACTTTCCTCAACTTTGAGCTGGTTCAAATTCATTTTAATGAGAGTTGATGAGTGTTTTCGCAACGCGCGTGGTAACCCCAAATCAAAAATCATTCTCGTCGACGGGGGCACGAGAGTTGAGAAAATTCCCATGGAAACTCTTTCTTGCCTATACTCTCACAAATTACAAATGGCGGCAATTAGATTACCAAAAAAATTTCCCCGTAGCATCTTAAACCCCTTAATTGCAATTTTACCTTAATGATTTCTTTTGTCTTCAGCCATTTTTCTTCCCATATTCCAGTGAGACGCCTTATAAGCTTTTCATTGTCTTTCAGCTTTTTCTCCGACTTTATGTCTTTTCCTTCCTGATTTGAATATAACAGCAAAAGTTAACAGATAGTGTGATATCAATGACCAGTCCGAATTAGAGGATTTGGAATGATATTTCACACGAATAAATCACTACTTAAGCGAGGTAAATTAATTTTGATCCAGTTCAAGGAGTGAATTAATTTACTTACCAGGTATCCAGTGTTATCATGTGAGGCTTGTGAGCAAAATAAAGCAATATATATAGTTGGCTAATTTACTCATGAATTATTGATGATTTGAGATATGCTAAGAACTTGCGCATTAACGCATACGTGTGATCACGAACATGATCACGCGCACGTATTTTCGCTGCTGACGCAGGATGAATTTTATAAACTTGCTGACAGTCTTTGAAAATGGTTTCCGAATAAGAAACAGAAACTTTAGATTTAAATATAATCGGGATGAACTCAAAACCAATTATGAAATTTGCTCTGAAATTGTCCAGCCCAACTGGCTAAGGTACCCCAGCAAATCACTCTCTCGGGAACAAATCTGAGCATGCTGTATGAAATTCATATTTAAACATACAGTACTGTACCTGTTCCATTTGCGATTTTAATCCTGAAATTTCATCTTGAAGTTCTTTAATCAATTTCACATTTGCTTCCTGAAATAATTAAATGCGTACAAAAGGTTTAATAAAGATTTTGATTCATTGTGAGGAAATGGAAGACCCATAGCACATTTCAAACAATTTTCAAGGTAGCAGATGTGATATTTTGAAAGGAAGACAAGCACATGCAATATTATCAATGACGCAAAAGACAAGTACGGTTTTCCTGTTGGGACTTGAAGCGGTCTTTTCTATGGAATAGCAGGCTGGTTCATCACATCCGCGCCAAGAAAAACTTTGGATGGAAATGCAACGACTCAACGATCAAACTAGACTGTGAGTTAAAGGATATAATCTGGTTTGCCTAAAGAATATGAAGCTGTATGCTGTCGAATTCATATGAAATTGATCAGCTGACGATAAGACGTGTATTTGCATGTGTACTGTATACGTGCATGTACCATAGAAAAATGGCTTGGCGATTTTTAAAATAAATCACCCTTGCAAGTTATATAAATTAAACCTTTACATTTTCTTCAACGTTAAATTTTGTTGAATTGTTGTTTGCCGGCAGTTTGCCGTTTGCCAGTTGTCCAAACACATACATGTATTTCGGATTTTAGTTTTCAATTCTTCGCAACTTTTTAAATAATCTCACAGAGAAGCAATGGCATGAGGTGTAAGCGTTTCTGAGTTTTGAAGAAATTCTGCATGTTTTAAATGATTGTCTCAGAGATCATTATTCGGATACATCAAGCTGTAGCTGTTATAGGTCTTATAGCTGCCTCGTACCCAGGCGCTTACATGAAGTATTCAGGTAGGAAGCAGACGCGCGGCTGGCGGCTGTTGGGAAGGGTGCGTGCTGGGGAGCGCCTGGCAGTTCTTGTATACTGTCATGGCGGGAAAACATGGAATTTAATACAAAAAGTTACCATATCGTCATATACTCTGTGTGTAAAACCTTACTTTGTGATGAAGAGTTGAATTGAACGCCATTGGCAAATAATAATATATTTGTAGATGTTCGACGACATGCAAAATGCGTGAAACATTATGAGTAAATAACATGGCAAGTTAACCGTGCGAATATTTCGAATATGTCATTCGGTATTACATGGAGAATAACAGAATGCTATCAGTTGCTTAGCATGAAACAGTAACAGAGAAATGATTAGAAAGTCATATAATTGCTTTTGTATTAATTTAACTTCTTTAGCTGAAAGCTCAATCAGTCGATCACAATGCCAATGGCAATTTCTATTAAATGTATACTGTAAACAAAAGCCCAAGTAAATAAAAGTTCACAGCCGTAAAGTTTGAAATATTTATTACAACAGAGCAATTTTATAGTCTGTACCTTTACATAGTTATAGCTTACAAATCTAGTTCCTGCAAGTCTAGTTCTTCAACGGTTCGGTTGTTGACATGTTAATATTGGAATTTCCATGGACTTTAATGAATAACAGCATGAATTCACGCCCGGATGACAGAAGAATATTAACATTAGTCAATTCAACAAAAACAAGTAGCAAAAAATCGTAAACGACAACGAAATAGCACAACTTGCAAGAAATCGACTTTCTTGCAGAAAATCGATCAAGAACTGCCAGACGTCTCGCAGTTCAAGTGCACTCTTCCCATCAGCCCCTTCGCCATCTCTCCCCACTACAATACTTCATGTAAACTCGTCATATGCGCATCACTGTTTTTTTACAAAGAGACGCCTGGGTACGAGGCAGGGTCTTATAGAATATCAGGTCTGTTCAGTGTAACACACTCAATGCAAAACATGTGGCGGTCATGTTGAATATCACGAAGCACAAGTACTGTAGCACTTAGTCATACAAGAGGGACATGAAATCAATTTGAAGAAACGCACTAAAATAAATAAAAGCTTGAGGAAAAAAATTGGTGAAGGGTCGCTGGAAAATTCGAAGTTGTGATTATCGTCGCTACAGTACCTACACTGTCATTGCATGGTATACAGACTGTTCTATATATTAGGAGAAATATCGCTCCAGCCATGAAAAAACATGTACACAAAATATATGTAGGGCAAAGTGGCGAAACATTTTGACAAGCTTTCGTTGCTATATACCTTAAAAATATAGGGAGAATTTCGACGTCGAAATTCTCCTTATACTTTTCAGGTAGTTGATCCCTACCAACGGAAGTTTGTTCACTTGATTGGCACTACCTACACTGCATGGCAAAGAAAGTTCTAGAAATATATGTTAACGTTTGAAAGGAGAAAAAACTAATGAGTAAAGTGTATAAAATGTCTCGAAAGACAATATACACTGTATCGTCTTACATGTATATCGTGAAACCTTCAACTATACCTCATTCACCGATGGTTTATTCATGATGTTCTTGGTGTGGTTAGCATATCTTAAAGTGCTAATTGTCTTATTATAGTGGATATCCGCTGATGAGACTGTAGCCAACATTATCGTTTTACAATTGCCTCCAAGACAGTCTTTTAACAACAAGGTCAGAGCCTATACAAGAAGTTTCAAGAACACTTAATTAAAGTACTGTCATGTTTGCCTAAATTCTATAGTTGTACAACCAATGTAACTGAAAGTCTAAATTCAAATGGGTTTGTACAAATTAATATTCACCATTCGTAAATCGTTCTATTGTGAGTTTAAATGATGATTGAAAGTATTTTTTATAAAGAGGGAAAACCTATCATTCAGTTGCGATTTAATACATCAATTCATTCAAATTAGAAACAACAGAGAAATGCAGATGGTCGAGATGGATAAACTTCTGCGTTTCGAGCGAAGACCCTTCGTCACTAACTACAGTAGTTCCCTACGAAGGGCCTTCGCTCGAAACGTCGAAGTAGTTGAAACCATATCCAGCTGTATTTCTTTGCATTTCTCTGGTGTTTTTATTACTACAGTACCTATAACCTGTTTTCCACTAGACGAAATTTTTCGACCGAATCGAAATTTTCTTTTGTCTTACAAGCACTGAGATGGAACTAAACAGAAATAATTTGAACAATAGAAATTTCGGTTCGGTCGAAAAATTTCGCCTAGTGGAAAACCGCCTTTACGCTGGCACACATCGTTCGAAAATTAGAAACAACATACTCCTAATTGATTGTTACGCTATATTACCGCTTACCACAAGTATCACGGCAAATGTTTCTAAAATAACGTTAACATAAAATTCAAATTAACTGCAAACAAAATTTGTTGAGCGGATAATCTTTATATTTGTTTTTATTTTGCCGTGAGTTTTATTTTGCCGCGAGTTTTTAATTTGCCGTGAGTTTTTGTTTTGCTGTCAACATTAAAAATTGTTGTGGTAGCAAATATAAAGATTAGAGAGTTTAAGCTTCGCGGTATTTCACATGTTTAGTTCCATGTTTCGTTGAGATATTTCATACTCTTTGCAAAAACAATTCAACCAACTTGACGTCATATTGACGTCATTTGCATATAATGAGATATTAGTGAAGGTTTGTTATCTAACTTATCTTTATTATCAATAATAAATACATGCTGCTTGTTCCAAGCATGCACGATGCATCCTTAATCATGTACGCGTCAAGATGAAATAAAATATTTCAACGATGAAAATCTATAAAGCAGGTTACTTGTATAAAAGAGTACAGTACTTTCGTTTAATTAAGAAAATGAACTGTTTTTGTGTCATATAGACACTTTATAATTAAACTAGAATAGAAATGCGACATGACAGTGGGAACCATTTTGTACTGTATGTTAAAAGGGTTTTCAAGTTTTTAAAACATCCCGAAGAGATATCTTATGACGTCATGAATTGTAAAACTACAGTATATTTATTTTTAATGCTGCGAATGCATTCAAATTTTTCCAAACTGTTATAATAACACAATTTTCAAAAACATCCGAAGTGTAAAATATTTTATAATTGAACTTGCTTTTAGCCGAGTCATTACATAAACATCACAACTTGAAATTATTTACGTACCGATTCCTTATAGGGGATTTCGATATCTGCTTGTTCGGTTCCATTCAGTTGTTTGTTTTTGCTTGCTAAAGACGAAATGACTTGACCAAAAACTTGAAGTGACCTGGCAACCGCTACTTCGTTATCTTCATCTGGGGTTATTGTTCGATCGTCCTGTGAATATAAATAACATGAAGAGGGATTTTTATGTCGCAGTTGCTGTTGTTATATAAAATACTGTTGAAAAATTGCAACAAACAGCGTAAAATATTTAGAAATTGACAATGCTTTGAAAATAACCGTAACTTCACTGATTATAAGATATGTCTTGAATCTACTGCTGTCAGTAACCAGGCTCTCAGACACAGAATAGACACGAAACATATATAGTCTATACAGTACATACAGTACTCTGTGCTCTCATATAGATAAATTAAAGAATAGTGGATCTTCAGACAGGATAGTAAATTTGAAAGTCCGGCTGTATAGAAACAAATGTAAATTTCGATCTATACTACGGTATCTCCTGCAGTCAATTATACAAAAGAGTGCTTACCTTGGCATGACGTCTATCAGTTCCAGCCAGGTCAACAAAACTTAATGTGCTAACTTTCTCCGAAGGAACACCATCTGCCATTTTAGCCTGAAATTTTGAAAATAAAGGAATAGAAAACGTGGTGAAAATGTTCAGTTCATATATAGGTCTCTTATAGAATATAGACTTGCTCAAAGTCTCGCTCGAATTGACTTCACTCTTCATAAGGTCTCATCGTCGATGGAAAGCACGTTGAAGATCGATAACAGCCAGTTATAATTATACATGTACCTACTGTACAGTAGTTACCTGTAAAAGCCATAAAAATGCAACCTTTTCAGACAAACTTTGTAAGGACTGTTGCAAGCATTATTCTATATGGATTTGGACAACACGAACGGTGTATTTTTGAAACTGTCCAGGGTTTTTTCCCCGATTTTCTCTTGGGTCCGTTTTTGCAGAGAAGATTGAGTTTAGCTGAACAGCCGGGGTGGCCCCCCCCCTACCGGGGGCTGACACCTGTACTCAATAAATGTAGTTGAGACGGAATGTGTTAAAGCAGGGGCCACTAAGGGACACTATAAACTGGTTAAAGATGGCGAATGATGGTTTTTCTTGTGTTGTGAGATGAATTCCAGCCATTTCTTTTAATTGTCGGGTTTCCAACTGAAAACTAATTTCCACACGTCACGAATTTAACTCAAACAACTTCATTTTTACTGCACTGAAACTTTGGTGAGAAGATTGAGTTTCAAAACTCAATTCAAGATTGAGTTTTTGAAAAATCCCTGAAAAAATCCCTGCTGTCATACATTGACAAAAAATTAGTGTACTGTGTACCTTACCTTACTGTAGTTAAGGCGGTACCGTATTTTATATTACCTGAGTGAATTGCAGCATAAAGACAGTATGAGAACGTCGTGATAAACCATCTGAAGATTGTAATGCAATTCTGCAAAGTTTTGAAAAATCCATTAATTAAACAAATGATACGATCTTTGCGGTATGTTCCTCCTACCAGAGAAGTGTCTGTACTGAAGCTGAGGGGAGTCCGTAAAGGCCTTAGGTGGTAATGCAAACTCTCATGCGATGTAGATAGTTTACCTGTTTTTCATGCCTTTCTCTATCATTTTCTTAATTTCATCTGGATTTGTTACAATTTGTTTCGTCAACTTTTCTACGTACGCTCCTCTTTCAGGATCATCGTGTACTAAACGAAATGTGTAGTGAGGTTTAGATTCGTCTTCCATTACCACTACCGCTAGCATTAATGGACCATTGACCAATCAGATGGGTTTATCTGTTCGATTAACCAATCGTATGCGTATTTAGGTAGTGGTACTGTAATCAAATATAAATTTCACTACTGAAGTTTGAATACTATAAGTGAAAATACTCAAAATAGTCAAATATTGAAATACTCAAAGACTCTAAATATTGAAATTAAAATGGCACAGTTTACCTTGCAAGGAATTATTTCTTGTCATAACATTATTCTGGCTGTTATTTCTGGCTAACAAGTCATTAACACATTCGTTGTAAATTTCCAGGAAACTAAAATAACAAATTCTACATTAAGACCATGTTATACGAAGCAATTATTGCTGCAACTTGCAACGCAATTTTACATGTTAAGGCCCGCGCCACGGTTTTTTGTCGATTTGGGGTAAGAACTATTTGGGATAAAAACGATAAAAAAAGCACGCGATACCATGAGCTATGTTACACAGAGTTCGATATAATTCTGAAAGTATGAGCAACGCAAGTTTTGGTCGGGCATTATCGGACACTAAACGCTAATTACTCAAAGCATAGTGTATTGCATTGCATTGTAATTATCTTACTTGTATACGAAATTTGAGTATCAATTAATTGTAATAAAGAAATTCATTTGATAAATGTACAATATTACGAAGTCGAGAGGAATTTCAATTGACAAATTTCAGTCATTCGGCCTATGAGAAAAGTGAAGGCAAGATGGCGGCCATTAACAAAAAAAGCTCTGAAGGTCGTAAACAGCTTTCATACCATTTTCCTCACTTAGCTAAGTATAGGACCGAATCGCTAACCAAGTCATCAGTTCATAAAACCACGGTGTTATTCTTTAAATCTCATTAAATCGATATCAAAATACGAAATTCCGACACACTCCTTGCCAAGATGGCGGAAATTCAAGGAGCTATTGGACGTCAGTTCCAGTCCCTTTCTATTGTTTTTGTGCGCGGTTAACACGATGGTGGTTTTACTACGTGTATTCGGGCTCGAGTTCTTTGTCCAGGTATACATGGAGCTCACTGGTTGATATATACCTTATCTCTGCTCTGTAAGATGTGTCTGGGTCACTTGATGCAGCTTTGTTAAAAACTTCCTCATTTACTTGTTGAATTAACCCCTCTCTCTCCTCGTTTCCAAACATTGCATATGTCTTTCCAGTCCCACTTTGACCATACGCAAATACACAACTGTTGTATCCTTCAAAAGCAGCTGATAGAACATGCTCACCCAGCACAGAACGCACCTGTTAATAAAAATAATACAATTGTCTGGTGTTGGACAGAGTAAAATAGGCAAGCAGGGCGCATTGATGCATTGGTTCTTAATGGTAGGACTATTTGAGGAATCAAAATTTTATCACCGCACGAAGACCACGAAGGGCTTAAAGATTTAGCATAAAATTCTTAGTTCTTTATTGCAGTGCTTAAGTTAGTCTAAGCCTGATATAAAAATGAAATAGAATCTATTGAACATGACGGAACATGCCTCAGTGTAGTTTTTTTTTTTGTGGTGGTGGCCAACCCTTGAATGAAACTATAGGCATGGAAGGCTGGGAACAACCAATCCAACCACAACCACCGGCCTTGGGACGAGAATACATCTTGAAATCAAACTCCCTCTGCCGAGGGTGGAAAAAAAGGGGGGGGGGTATGGGTTCACGTTTCACAACGAAAAAAAGCCGTTTCACAATTCACCATTAAATTCAACATGGCGGCATGTTTCGAACTGGTAAAAAAGCAATTTCACGGAAATCTAGATTCTAATAAAATATATTAAATATAATAATAATAGCTTTATTAAGAGCATGTTTAATGCATGGTACAGTATCTACGCTTTAAGTTCTCTCACTTCGGTAGTCTACCTGTCAGTTAAAAACTACATGTACATCCGACAACTTACAAGTTTGAGTGACGAGTACCTGTATGTCCGACGACCTCCGAAAGGCCTCCCAAATTTTTCTCTTGTGCAATCGAGTGAGATGATATAAATTGATTATCGCGTATCATGTCTATTATGACTATTATAAAATAGCTCGAAATAAACAAAGCAAAATCACAGTTCACGAAACAGACATCCTTAATTCTCATTTCACGAGGCATTTTTATCGACAATCACGCCACAAGGGTGCAGAACAAATCACATTTCACGACACTAAAATCAAGCATTTCACATTTCACGCGAACAAATATTGCCCAATCACGGCTCACGAAATTTAAATACCCTTTCCCACTCTCACTGCCGTACTGTACGACTCATGCACATCCTGCTAAAATAAATAAATTCAAATTTGGCTCAATAGTCCAGCGGAAAAGTAAAAAATCATGCACTTTGTGAAGAAAGCGCCCAATTCACAGGAAGTGTAGACTTTAACATGATGAATCTTAGATATGGAGGCATCACCAAAATTGATGGCTTAAAATTTAGGATTTCTTATATTCTCTTATTAAACTCTATTACTGTTTAAAATTGTGAAATTGCAGGTTCACATATAGCAGAAATGACTTGCATGATTAGAAAGCTTACAAAAAACTACATATAAGACTTTTAAACGGGTGATTGATTTTCCAAGCGGTTTTCCAGTTATTGCTATTTAAAAACGTGATAAATAGGCAAAAATCCCGCCAAAGTCCTGGACACTAGCCCTAAAACATATTTTCAACCGCTCATAACTATAGAGGAGTTGGAAAATCAAAACTGCTTAAATATCTTATATGCAGTTTTTTGTAAGATTTCTAATGACGCATGTCATTTTTGCTATATGTGAACCTACAATAATATTTCACAATTTTTAATTATATATAAGAGATTAATAAGAGAATATAAGAAATCCTAAATTTTAAGCCGTCAGCATCAATTTTGGTGATGCCTCCATATCTAAGATTCATTATCATGTTAAAGTCTACACTTCCTGTGAATTTGGTGCTTTCTTCACAAAGTGCATGATTTTCTCAAATATCTGTGCATATCTGCTGGACTACAACAGCTATTTTAGCCTTACTGCCATTTCCTCCAGACTTACAGTAGACGACAACTAGCTCCACACTCTCCATATGGTTTTGGAGTAGCCTGCGAGCGTTTTGGGACTTTCCATAAAGAAATTGGAGACATTATAATACAATTTACGAACAAAAATATTAGATGCATTTGGAAATTTATTTTTAAGTACCCACGACTTACTTTTAACAGTTAAAATAAGCATTATATCAAAGCTAGCTTGGCTGCCATATTCAAAGTGCTCATTTTACCCAACAGGCAACAAGAAGATGCGATGACGAAAATAACATCACTTGAGAAACGTTAATTTAGTCATGTTTTAGAAGGAATAAAACAAGGACTAAAAGCTCAGGATAAATAACAATACCCGGGGTTTAGTACAAACTAAGTTTTGGGACTGTCAAAATGTTTAATTTATAGTATATTTTTTTCGAGTTGAAGAGCGAGTTTTCCTTCGGCACGTCCAAACTTTCGTCATTTTCTTCAAAATACAAAAGGAAAACTCCTTACTTTTTGCTGCAGAGAGATGTAAAACAGTCGGAACTAATCGGAAAACCAGGTTTGAATCCCGATCATTGTAGTTTCCCATGGAAAAAGGGTTTTTCTTGCAAATTTTTGCTCAAAAAATCAAATTTTTTCACTCCTCGAAACTCTCCTTAGTCCTTTTGAAAGCTGATTTCCCCGCGTGTCGGCTTCAACGAATCGTCAGAACGGTCAAATTTTTGGATGGAACACAAAACGTTTGGGCTTCGGACCTATCTGACCTGAAAATTTAGATAACATTAGAATGAGGTTCATTTTCGCTAGATATTTGAGAAACATAGACCAAATCTTTCCATTGATACAGAGATAAAAATTCGGGTCAGGCCATTGAATGGAAAGCAACCATAGATCTTCATCACAGGAGTTAGCGCTCCAGTTTATTTATAGTTCAATAGTGACATATAAAAATTTTCCCGCCAAGCGAACACCATATTATGATCATGTCTATCATACTTTGAAATCATTTTTGCAAGCAACATTTTTTTTAAAGAATTCTTTTCAAGTTAATACAGTGCGGAGGACAGTTTAAAGCTAAGTCATTGTTGTGTTGTTCTTACTATTTTTATCATTAAAAATTGCGTGTATTTGTTTCACTAGCTATCTCTATGAATATGTCCAAATAATAAATTCTGAACTCTGTCTGTTTGTGAACGTGTTGACAATTATTGAAGACCCCTAAAGTACCAACATTACAGTTCCATTAATTAATTGTCACAGGGCATCTGTGAACAGGGCCTAATGCGACATTCACAACGTAGCTATGTGCCTCTTTTTGTGATTTTTGAAAGTGTGTTGGATCAGTCTTTATTCCTTTGTCATCAAAAGGACAATATATTGATGTTCCCAACCATTTTCACAAGTTTTCCAACCAGGTTCAGTGGTGTAAAAGATAAACTTCCTACTTTTTTTACCACTTGCCCTCCGGCATGTTGGACATGAAAATTAGTTGCCCTGAAATGCTGAATAAAATTCACTTGCCATCAGACAATGGCTGCTGGGGTACCTAGCCCTAGGTCGGAGTATAAATTAAGGGGACAACATGTCGACCCATTCTCCTACTGCTCTATATGGCTATGTTATACTGCCTCAGATCTAGCTTTGGCCACAAAAAACAAAATTTGAATCAAGTACATGCACTGTAAAAAATAATCCGACAATGAAAACAAAACCTTACAGTCGATTTCACAAAACTTTTGCCAAAATGTTCCAAACTTCGTTCCGAAGTTCACAAAATTTGTTTCGAAGTTCACAAGTTCAACATTCAAATTCACAAGCCGGTTTGTAAACAAGACCTCTGATTGGTCCATGTATTGAAAGAAGCCAATCAAATACTTAGTTTACAAACCAGTTTGTGAACTTATGAACTTGCAAACTTCAAACTTTGGAACTTTGGAATGAACTTGCAAACTTTGAAACAAAGTTCAGAACATTTTGGCAAAAGTTATGTGAAATCAAATGTAAAGATGCCCAGTGTTTTGTGGCAAGGCAACTTGCCCAATCGGACAAGCAAAATAAAATGTTTACTTGCCCGTCATGATATTCACTTGCCCCAGGCAAGTGTTAACTAAAGTTACACCTCTGAGGTTTTGCTTCCGGCAAACTAGAGTTTGCACATATTCTAAGGATGCATATGGCAGAACACTTGTAGGCCGCTCACAGCATTTCATTTCAATTCTGCACAAAATTCTCATCAATAGCATATTATGTTTGGAGGTACAGTAGGTGCCATTTGTCGTCAAAGACTGCAGCCTGCAATGTCTTGCTGGCAAGACATATTGGCATGGCAACAGATTAACATCAGAGTACTGTAGCAACAATAACAGCAGCAATCCGTAAAATAACAGCAAAGAAATTCGCCATGACAATTCTAGCAAGGCATCCCTCCAGCACCTGTCACACTGATGAGACAGTGGAATATACATATTTGTTAAACTAAAAGGCAATTGAGGCTATAAATCTTCTTCTACTTCTTCTTCCTTTTTTACCTAACCTACTTAATTCTGACCTTCATCAGTGCTCTTCCCTTGACAAGTAAAATTGTCTGGAGTTGGAAGGAATAAAGAAGGGCACATTCACAACATGGGCAAATTATCGAGCACCCGCACAAGTAAAATCATCTGACAGAGCAAAATTAACTTGATGGGTTAAAAAGCCTTGTTCTGAAATGTTTTAATAATAAAAGAGTTATATGATCCCTAACCCTTACCCTTATCTATCTACAGTATACAACAATTATGTATAGTGTTCTATAATTGCAACATTACTGTATTAGAACAATTTTAAGGGCATTCTACAAGTATTATACAATTAGAATAGATTGCACATCTGACATCTCTATTATAGCTACCAGTGAAGTTATCTTAGAGACCAGATTAAATTAATTTAACTATAAAAATGCCCGAAATGATCATATTATTCCCCCAAAGTACGGAACTACATCTATAATTTTATAATAGCTTCTATTTCCTGAAGCAATATACAGTATATATACTATTTTATTGACAGACATGTCAGTGTAATTTACACATTGATAATATATTACACACAATATTTGCCCACATTCAAGCATTCATCAGCCTTTTATGCTATGTTTGCCCCAATATAGACAACGACAATAGACCTCTGCTGAGAAGTTCATAAACATTTGCACACGCCAATTTGTAATATTCTTCGATATAGGATTCAGTCATTAAAACGTGATTCCTCAAGTGTCAATAATATTTCCTTTTACACTTTACAACATACTATAAACTTTAAAAATTCACATGCACCGAATTTTATTGCATATAACCCCGGCTTATTAAATCTGTCTGCTGTTCTCCGTCAAATTTCTCACAATAATGAATACTGTGTTTCAGAATGTAATGATAGCCTTGTCTTTGTCTGTTTGACAACATTCGGTTTAGTATAAATATTCACTATTGTTCAGAAATAAACCGGTTTGACATCGAATAACGACAAGACCATTTTAGGTAAAGAAATGAAACAAAAACACTGTGGCTTACCTGATTTTGTGAGTAGCAGGGGTCATCGCCACCAGAACTGAACTGTAAAAATAACAACGAGACGTATGTTTAATAGATGAAAGTACTAACATACACACATTAGACAAACGACTCACATTGAGACTGACTTTCAAATAGATACTTACAACTTCGTCGAATGTAAAGGTTTTTGCGCGCTCAGATTCAGGATTTCTAACAGTCACTTGTGAATTATCCGCTTTTACTACAACGCCACAATTTTGCGATTCTTCTATCCCGTTCAAAGGCCGTACTCGCACAGCTACCCGTACCGATGACATTTTTATGAGCAGAATGTCAATAATATTATGCAAATGATTACTTTATCCGAAGTTTATGCCCACAAAATCACAAATGCCCAGTCACGCACTCGATATGTTTTCACGAAGATTCACATCTCGAAATAACTCACATACTTGACATCAAAGCGGGTGAGTAATATTATATTTCACAGTAATTCAAAACATTCGAAATATAATATGTTGTTCCTGACAAACCGGAAAGGCGTGTAGAATACAACGTTAACGAGTACGAGTTAAATTAGCAGTGGTTAATATTAAATATACCGCAAATCCCGTCAGGGAAAAGTTTGACCTTTGTCTTTGTCCCAAAATAGGTACAACTCATGCTGCTTGGAAGTTTGGAACAAGGTTTTACATAAATTATAAAAGTATAATGTAACAAAATTCTCGTCGCGTGTGTAGCAGCTCTCAAGTCTCGAAATACACTTTACAGTCTTTAGCCAATATATTATCATCAACATCATGAGTGCTCTGCTCTGTCAATTAAATACCCCTGGCAGTTTTATTGGCGTCTTCCTAAATTGGTAACTGGAATCCTGTCTGGAATGTTGGCAGCGCAATGATTATTCCAAGATAGTCTAAATCTTCGCCCCTTGCGCATTTTTCACGCGTTTTTTTCGCGCCTCCACACACACACACACATTTTCCCGTGACTTGTTTCACGTACTGCACTCACTTTATTAAAGATGATTTCCACTCCGTTCTCCCCATAGATATCTTATATAAGATATCTATGGTTCTCCCCCAGATTATTCTGTGCCCAGATATAAACATTGCCCAAATTTTGCATCTTTCGAACTTTTTTGAATTGAACCGAAGAGTTTATATTCATTTATACAAGCATAGCGAACCAGAAAAGTGTTAGATATTCAGTTAGTATATTACAGAGGTGTGCATCGGATCGGATTGGACGTTTATAATCCGACAATTGGCTAATGTTTAAAATCCAATCCGATCCGAAATTATCTAATCGGAATCCGATCCGATTTTTGATAAAGAATTCCGATCCGATCGGATCCGAAGAATCCTTTAATAAAATAAATTTCTCATTCAAGTGGAAATATTTAACCAAATAAATATAAAAGCAAGAAATACATGTCAAGAAGTGACGTCCAATTGAAGTATCAAACGAATAATACAGCGACAACCGCGTTGTCGTGGATAATTATTCATTTTATTTGGAATATCAAAGTCCGATCCGACTACGAAACAACTTTATCAATCCAATCCAATCCAATCCGAAATGAATACGTTTGTTCCAAAATCCGAACGAATCCGATCGGATCGGATTTGCACACCTCTAGTATATTATATTTTACAAATATAGCAGTTCAGTATGCGCACAGGAATGGACATAATTTTTAAAACTTATATCATCAAATACACCTCTGCAAATGAGGGTACCTATTTATCAAGCCAGGATTCGAGCCAGGACTCGAGCTAGGACTCGAACCAGGACTCGACTAAGGACTCAAGCCAAAAATGACGTCAGGCGATTCTGACGGATGGAAATTTATCGACAACGCTCTCACTTTTAAGGAATTTCTTTAAACTTGGGAAATTTAGACTATTCGTTCACCAACATGCGAAATGTTTAAGGAAATTTAACTGAATCTGAGGAATCGATAACCTAAACAAATGGGAAGTGAGAGAACTTAAATTGTTTACCAAATCAATTTCCTGCCTTTTTCCACCACAGTCAACTAAAAGAACTAGAACGTTTATATTTGGTATATTTGTACATACAGAGCTATCAATCTCATCTGACTTTGGCTATAACTGTAACGGTTATCAGCGTCGGAAGACAGTGAATTAAACAATAGTCAATACCATTGTTGTTGTTTGTGTTTGATATATCGAACAAATATCGGTTATCCAAAATAGGGAAATATCCGGCCAGTATTTTATCGAACTATAAAAACTGAGTTCGTATTGCCCATCACCAGAAGAGGGTACCTATTTATCAAGCCAGGATTCGAGCCAGGACTCGAGCCAGGACTAGAGCCAGGACTAGAGCCAGGACTCGAGCCAGGACTCGATTCAGGATTTGAGCCAAAAATGACGTCAGGTGATTTTGATGGATGAAAATTTACCAACAACGTTTTCACTTTTTAGGAACTTTCCTTAAATTTAGACTATTCGTTCACCAACAATGCGAAAAAATTTAACTGAATCTGAGGAATTGTTTATCGATAACCTAAGGAATGTTTCGCAAATGGGAAGTGAGAAAATTTTGTTTACCAAATCAATTTCCCGCCTTTTTCCACCTTTTTCGATAAAAGAACTAAAGAACGATTGTTTATATTGGCATGTAGTAAAACACTGACTACCGGAACACCGGAACACCACCGGAACACCGCCGGAACACCACTGGAACACCACCTAACCCTAACCCCAACCCTAACCCCCAACCCTAACCCTAACCCCAACCCTAACCCCCAACCCTAACCCTAACCCCAAACACTAACCCCAAACAAAATTGTGGTGTTCCGGTGTTCCGGTAGTCAGTGTTTTACTACATGCCGTTTATATTAGGTATATTTGTACTACAGAGCTGTCAATCTCATCTGACTTTGGCTACCTATAACAGTTATTAGCGTCGGAAGACGGTGAATGAAATAATAGTCACCATTGTTGTTGTTTGTGTTTGATATATCGCACAAATACCGATATCCAAAAAAGGGAAATATCGGGCCAGTATTTTACCGAACTAAAACAGTTGGTATTGCCCATTACCAGCGGTTTCTCGACCTTTACAAAACAGATACTTGTTGTCGCTCATTGCCGCTTAACATTCGTCAAAGAGTAGGATAATTCTCGAGCTCGCTGCCCTGTTTTCCTGTAATAGATGCCAATATCACCAAACTGTATTATAGCCAGCGTGGCCGGCTCTTCTAATTAAGGCGGAGAATTCGCCTTAGAAGAGCCGACCATGCTTGCCAACTGTATTACCAAATACACCCTTTCGATAATTACGTCACACATACTTTTTGGTCATGGAACCTCGCTCTCATTGGTAAATCAGTTACGCAAGGTGATTAGCGTAATTATTGAAAGGGTGTATTTAATTTGCTAGTAGTAGAACATTTAGCTAGCGTGCGTAACCGTCTTATGAAATAAAAACGTTGGGTAAAGGCAATTCCCCCTATTTTTGAATTTTTTTGATCGAGTCCTTGACTCGAGTCCTGGCTCGAGTCCTGACTCGAGTCCTGGCTCGAATCCTGGCTCGAATCATGACTCGAGCAATAGTATATTTCTCACCAGAAGTCTCCCACTCTTTAGAAAACAGATACTTGTTCAGGGGCGTAGGAACGGGGGGGGGGCAAGGCCCCCTCAAGTTTTCAGAAGACACAAAAAGCGCTCTTTTTTTGGTTGGGAAAGTGCCCTTTGCCTTTATGAAAAATGTTGTTCAGCAAAGCAATGTCTGTGAGTCTCTGTGGTTACTTGAGTGTGGGGCAGTTAAACAATGAAATGACCAGCCTGTTTGGTGGGCACTCTTTGGCTGAGAATCGGGCCTTTCAGAACCAGAAATCGGGCTGGAGCACGACAAATGGCAAAATTTGCACGGTGCTCGTTTTCAAAAACAACTGCAAACTGCTTTAATTCTAATTAAAATTATTATTATTATTTATTTATTTATTAATTATTATTATTATTTATTATTAAAATTATTATTATATATTATTATTTATTATTTATTTATTTATTAATTATTATTATTATTTATTAATTATTATTATTATTTATTTATTAAATTATTATTATTAATTATTATTATTATTATTTTATTCTTTAATTTTAATTAATTGCTTTTAATTTTAATTCTTTAATTCTGTCACTTTCATTTGATCTCATCCGTGAGTTGGCCCCACGGCCTTTGATTTATGATTCTATTTATTTTTCCTTCCCTCCAGTCCTGGCTCGAATCCTGACTCGAACAATAGTATATCTCATTATATATCTTTGAAAAGTTACAGTATTATCAGTAAAAGTCTTACTTTCGTACTTTCGTACGTAACTTTCGAGCTCGTTTAAGGAAAAAAAAACAACTTGAGAAACCAATGACAAACTGAACAAAACGAGATTGTTTCACGTAAAAAATGCCAAAAAATGGCCTCAGAAATAAAACCTGAATAAAAACAGCTAAACGTTTGGAAAATTATATTAAAATTTAAAATGCAATCAGACAGTTTAGAATATTAATTAACGAAACATTCGGGAAACAATATCAAAATATCAAACAAAAGCACTGAAGAAAAAGCGAACGGATTAATTTTTTAAATTGAAAAGCGGGGAAAATGACATACCAGAATGGCGCGACAAAAAGGCGCGATTATGCTTAAGGATAGTTTCCACTCAGGAAAATTATCCGTGGATTGGAACGGACAAGAAAATTTTTCTTTGTGTTAAAGTCATTAGTTCCAACCCAAAGCTCAGAAGACAAAGAAAAAACTTTCTTGTCCGTTCCAATCCACGGATAATTTTCCTGAGTGGAAACTAGCCTTTACGCGAATTCACGTGCGGGAATATTTTAGTTCGTCTCTTTGGTATTCGCTTACTATATTTATTTGACGAAATCTAGCTGAAAAAAGTTTCGTTGAAGCTGTAAAAAGTATTCAAAATGTTCATCTCGCCGACCACGAAAGTAAAAAAGAAGAAAATACATTGAATATAGAAAGCAAACATGTGAGTATCAAGATTCAAACTTTACGAAGTAGTAAGAAATCGGCTAAAACCAGGCTGACAAAAGCTAAGAAACAATTGAGCGACCTAATTGAGAAACAACTTCCTGGTGGCATTGCCGAGTAAAAATGCCATAAGAAGAGCTATTAATAAATTTAATTCCGTGATCAGTATTATTGAAAAAATTATTTCTGAGTGCTGAAATTTAAAATGAGGAGACCAACACAGTTATCGAGACTTTAGACAAAGAACTTGAAGACATCGGGTCTTCAGTCGATTCAATAGTTGCAATGGCTGAACAACATCTCGAGGAAAGACTTGGCAATGGAGAAACTGACTCAGTGTTAACTTCACTTCTATCACAAGAAACTAGTCCCCAGTCTCCAGTAATGTCGAAAAAATCCTCAAATGTGGATCAGAAACAAAAAGAGCCGGCAAAAGAGGCTAGTGAAAGGCTAATCCAAATGAAAAACGAACAGCGAGTAAAGGAGCTAGAGCTCCAAAAGCTGACCGCTGAGCTTCAGCTGACAAAACAGCGCAAGGAAAGTTGCTGCTCTCAACAAGTCCCAGGCTGAAGAAGCCGAACGAAGATTGCAAGTATCGGATAACGACACAGTACAGAACTTCCTTATTAACCGTCACTTAGAAAAACATTCAGAGCTACCCAATGAAAACAAAGAATCTTCTTTGGCGAAGAAAAATCTTCTTTGGCGAAGAAAAAACTGACTATGAATCCTGGAAGGCAGCATTCCTGTCTGCTGTCGACCGTCTTGATATTCCTGTTGGAGAAAAAAATGCTTAGACTACAAGGCTGTTTGTCGGGAATGCTTATGAAAGAGCGAAGGCTAAATTGGAGCAGAAGTATGGAGGGGGAGACGTTTACAGATAAAACACCTAACAGCTTTGCGCAATTTCCGGAAAGTTCGTCCTCGAAATCTGGAAGATATAGAAGAGTTTCAAGTTCTATTAGAAAGAGCATTGATCGCCACTCAGGACTCAGGACCATTGCGTGGACAGAGCTTGAATTTAACAGCTGAAGAGAAACTACCAGACGAAGACGAAGATGCAAGCTTACAAATATTGGCTGATGGACAACTCGCGTGAAGAAACGCTTTCCAGGCTTCATTACTAGATTCACCACGCGATGTTGTATTGTTCCAAACTATTAAGTGGATCACCCCCCGTGGGTTTGTAAAGCTTTCAAAGATCTTTCCGTCCTAAAGAGAAAATAATTAATTACCAAGGCCGGACTCTGTTATTGTTGTCTGGCTACTGGACATCGAAGCAAAGATTGCACCAAAGCGAGACAGTGTGGTGTTGGTGGGTACCTGAGTAAAGGCCACAGCAGTTACCTTCATGTACAGAAAGCCCTCCAAAACACAAGGACGACGTGGGAGAATACTTACGGCCTGATACACCGACCCCCCCCCCCCCCAGGACAATCGAACCAAAATAGAGAGCCTCCTCGTAATGATAAAACACGTGATGACAATCTGCCACTAACCAATTTCCATCCACAAGAAAGAACACATAATACAACTAAAGTAGAGAACGTCTCTCTAATGGTTATACCTGCCCGGGCTAGTAATGGAAACAGAGAGTTAAAGGTCAATGTAATGCTTGACCCCTGTTCGACTAGTTCCTATGTATCAGAGGAAGCAGCAGACAAAACGTAAACCTTACGATTGCGCGAACAGGGGGCATCGAGATCCAGAAAAGATCCCGGCAAATGGAACTAAATGTGACTAGGCTATGTAGATAGGTAATTTACAACACCTGTCCAAGCACATGTGTTAGATAAGATTGCGAGCGACACGCCAGCCATACAGTGGTCAGAACTCGAAGAAAAGTTGCCTTGCCTGCACAAGATCTCTTTCGACAATGTTTCCAGGCGACAGCAGATTGATGTCATGCTTGACAGCGATAATCCAGTATTCCACTACGTATTAGAAGAGATTCGTGGCAGCCAACCAAGTGATCCCGTAGCACGCCGTACCAATCTGGGCTGGGTTTGTTTTGGGCCAACGTTGGTCAACGAGTTGCGGCGCAACTTCCCACTTCACACGCACGTACCGTACCTGCCATGTAGACCAGCAACCACCACCGGACCACATTCTACGCAAGTTCTGGGAGCTTGAGGCTCTAGGAATCAAAGAAACGTCTAAGAAACATGCGATGACAGCCGACGAGAGTATCAACTGCAACTGTAGTTGGATCGCTAAAGTTTGAGAATGGTCTGTACGAGGTAGGAATCCCCTGGAAGGACGGAGAGCCGAAGTTGACTAACAATTACGAAGCGGCGTTGTTACGACTCCAAAGTCAAGAGAAATCCCTCAGGAAGAAAGATTCTAGTATCCTGGAAGCCTACAGTAAAGTATTCAAGGACTATGAGAAAAAAGGCTACATCCAGAAAGTACCCAAGTCCGAGGTAGAACAGCAGTGGTTCTTCCCACATTTTCCGGTCATTAAGTTAATGACTGGAAAATGTGGGAGACATTAAGCCAAGCAAAGATACGACTAAAGTTCGTGTTGTCTTCGACGCGGCAATGAAGCATGACGGAAAGAGGTTAAATGACAGCATACGGTCAGGTCCGAAACTACAACAAGAAATAGTGGGTGTTCTCACCCGCTTCCGTCGAGCACCAGTTGCATTGAACGCAGACATTTCTGAAATGTTCTTGCAAGTTGGTCTACAAAACAAAGATCGTCCCTTCCACAGATTCTTATGACGAGATTTCGATCCTTCAAGAGAGCCCGACGTATACGAGTTTCGACGTCTGTTGTTTGGCAATACTGCCTCGCCATTCTGCCCACAGTATGTAATCCATGCCCACGCTCAAGCACATACAGAGACATTCCCAGCAGCAGCAGAATTGGTCGATAACTCGATGTGTGTTGACGATGTCCTATTTCAAGCGAGACTATAGAGAGTGCCCAGGATTTGCGACGTCAATTATCTGACCTGTTGGATCTTGCAGGTTTTTGGCTGCGGAAATGGTCCTCGAACGAGCCATCAGTTGTCGCAAGCATCCCCGAGAGTGAACGATTATCTGCTGTTGAAATTAACAAAGAAGAGCCCTCTAAAACCAAGACTCTGGGAGTCTTGTGGGATCCTCAAAGAGATGTATTCACCTTCAGAGTGGAACCTCCTGATGCGAATAAAACCCCTACGAAACGTAATGTACTGAGCGCCATAGCTGCTGTATACGACCCACTTCAGTTTCTCTCGCCATTCCTTGTTCGGGCTAAAATTCTCATGCAGGAGATTTGGAGAGGGTTGGATTGGGATGACAATCTTCCAAGTGATCTGGCAAGTAAGTGGAAGGACTGGTCTACAGAACTTTCGCAGTTATCCCATGTCGCCATACCACGCTGCTTAACGCCTCGCAAACCCGAATAAGATGGAGCTACCCCTGTTCTCGGATGCCTCTAAAGACGGCTACGCATCAGTCGCTTATTTAGTGTGCCAATATGAAGACGCTAGCTCTACATCACGCCTTGTCGCATCAAAGAGCTGTGTAGCTCCCACCAAAGCGATGACGATTCCCAGACCGGAGCTTATGGGTGCCATTCCGGAGTCAAGCCGTTAAGCTCAAAGTCTTCTAAAAGTCCTGACTATCGACCGTGTGATCTTTTGGACTGAATGTGTGGTATTGGGTACGAAACCACAGGACCGGCAGTTTAAACCCTTCGTAGCCAACCGTATCGCAGAAATTCAACGGACGACCAGTCCCGAGCAATGGAGGCATGTACCTGGGATACAGAATCCAGCAGATCTAGCGACCCGAGGTCAATCTGCTATGGAACTAGCCAAAAGCACATTTTGGTTGGTAGGACCATCGTTGTTGAAAGATGTCGAGATCTCGGGGCCATCGATCAGCGCCTTCCGGTAGAGAGGAGACGAAAGTTGAAGATGTTGAAAAGACAGTGGCACAGACGTACATGGTCCAAGCGTGCGTTAACCTGGGCGTTGATCCAAACCATTTTTCTACCTTCCGTCGCCCTTGTCGTGTGACTGGATGGGTTCAACGATTCGTCACAAACTGCAGACTTCCAAGGAAATTACGAAAAATGAGCAGAACGCTTTGTTCAACTGAAATACTTGTTGTGGAAAAGTGGTGGATCAAGCAAGCGCAAGGAGAAGCTTTCCCGAAAGGAGAACGAGAAGGATGTTTACCCTGCGACTTAGTCCAAAGAACGGTGACGATGGTCTTCTGAGGATGGACGGACGCTTAAGACTTGCAGATAAACTATCCTACAACACAAGACACCCCATTTTATTGCCAAAGGAGCACGTGGTGACCCGACTCATCATCAAGGATGCACATGAAGAGTTCGGACATGGTTCCGGAGTTGAGCAGGTTCTAACACTGCTACGAAGTCGTTCTTGGATCGTTAAAGGAAGACGCGCGGTAAGGAATATCGTTGAGTCATGTGCGCAATGTCGACGACGTTTTTATGTAAAAACAGCAGAGCAGAAGATGGCACCGCTGCTCAGACCGCTACTTCAATCGTTACGAGCTTTCGAAAGAGTCGGAGTGGATTATGGAGGCCCATTTCTAACGAAGCAAGGACGATGCAAAGCCAAAGCAAAGAGATACCTATGCATGCCTATTCACTTTTCTAGCGACAAGGGCTGTTCACCTTGAGATGTCATACTCATTAGACATGGCTTCATTCATCAATGCTTTTACGCAAATGGTATCGAGGAGGGAGACGCCCTTATATGTTATATCTGACAATGGGACCAATTTCGTGGGGGCAGAGCGGAATTACATGAGAGAATTAGTTCAATCGACCTATTCACTGGAAATTCAATCCTCCATCGGCCCCTCATTTTGGAGTGGTTTTACGATAAAGAGCGCCAAGAAGGCAATAAAGATTGTCCTAGGAGATGCAGATGTAACGGATGAAGAACTTCAGACCGCAATGTGTGGAGCTGAGAGGCTGGTAAATTCACGGCCCATCACTTATGTGAGTTCAGATCTTAACGACCTGTCTTCCTTACTCCAAATCACTTTATAGTCGGACAGATCGTTGGGGTATTTGCTCCTGAAGCTCTTGATCAAGTTGAAGCGAATAACCCTAGAAATCGCTGGCATCGAGTACAACAATTGTTACAGCTGTTCTGGAAACGCTGGAGAAAGGAGTTCCTTCCACGCCTTAATGTAAGCAAGAAATGGTTTCACCCCAAACATAACCTGAAACAAAACGATTGCTGAACCCAAAGCAAGTAGGGGAGAATGGCCTCTTGCCCATGTGATCGAAGCGTATCAGGGAAGCGACTACCTAGTCCGAGTTGTAAAGGTGAAATCCAGGAACAAGGAATATTTCCATCCTATACATTGATTGTGTCCTCTCGAGTATGTTGACGAATATTCGGACAATGAAGATAGATAACTGAAACGTTTATAGAAGTGAACAGAAAGGACGTTAATTAAGTCGTATTGACATTGTTAACCCCTCTATATATTGTCTTCAAGTGAGATCGAATACGTTGCATTCGGGAGGGGATGTTAACGAACGATATTATTATATGAAGTACTTGTTATTATGACCGCTGAAATGATCGCGCGGGCGACAAAATGTAGCTTCAACGTTCTAGGTTATATTTTTTCGACTACAAAAAGTGTGACGATATTTAGGCTATTTTTGTGTTTCTTTACTCGGAATAAAGTGGCGAATTATCTCGTGTAGACATTTTATAGAATGTTCAATTAATCGGGAACTACAAAATATGATCCGAAGTCGCCTAATTTAATGGTAAGGAGCTGTTGTTACTTGCCACAACATGTGACATGAAGACAGAGCACTTTTCTGTGCATATTAAGGCCTGATTCCACGACGGCGACTTGCGAACATAAAAACTGAATAATTAAGGCAGTGCGGTTCGTCATATCACGATGTTGTGTCTGCGGAATACGCACGGTTGCACATGAGCGATTCTATTGAATTTTCCCGCGTTGTCCGCTTTCGCAGTTAGTAGAACTATCTTCTACTCACTGATTAAATTCATTTCCTAATTCATTTCGTTCATATATAACATGAACTTGAGGTTGAAGATCGTCAACTGAATATGTTTAGGCAGCTGAGTTGGTAAGAGCACTGTACCGGAGTCGCAAGGGGCGATTTTCAGTAACTCCTCCTGGTAAATCCAAATTTCTGTATTTCCAAGAAACAGAAGAACCAAGAGAAACATAAGAACCAAGAGAACTAGAAGAACAATGAAATCAGAAACACCAAGAAAACCATATGAACCAAGAAAACCATAAGAGCAAAGAAAACCACAAAAAAACGCCAAGAAAACCTCAAGAACCAAGGGAACAAGAAGGACCACGAGAAGCAAAACAACCATAACTAACAAAACCAGAAGAACAAAGAAAACCAGAAGAATTAAGGGACCTAGAACCAAAAGAACTAACAAAACCAGAAGAACCAAAAATAGAAAAATCGAGAGAACTACAAGAAACAAAAGAAGAAAGAGAAGAAAGAGAACCAATTAAAAAAACAAAAAACCAGAAAGAACTAGAATTCAAGAGAACCAGAAGAACCAAGTGGATCAGAAGAACCAAGAGAACTAGAAGACCAGGAGAACCAGACGAAGCAACAGAACCAGAAGAGCCAAGAAAACAAGAAGAGCTAAGGGAACAAATAGGCCAAGACAACCAGAAGAACAAAGACAACCAGAAGAATCGATAAAACCAAAAGACGAATTGAACAAGGAGAAGCAAGGGAACGAAGTAAATTAGAAGAGCAAGAGAACCTAAAGAACCAAGGGGAAAAAACCACTAAAACCGGAATAACCAAGAGAATAATAATAATAATAATAATCTGTTTAATTAATCACATTGCAGTAGAGACTGAATTACATGATTATAAGTAAATACATTTAAAATTAAATTACAAATAAAATTGAGTTCAAACCGTTCAATGTTCGTTCTGAATAGTCAGTTTAAATCTGTCCACAAATTAATTATAATTGGGTACCTGAATATACACGAGTACTACTAAATCTATAATACATTAATAATTATATTTAACAGTTATAAAATTTTGAAACCGTTCTGTGTTCGTTTGGAGTGACCAGCTTGATTCGGACCTAAGATTATAATTATGAGTAGTTGGATGTATATGAGTTGCAACAATACGAGCTGAACAAAAAAAAGCCCCGAAGAATCAGGTGAACTTGAAGACCAAGAAAATCAGAAAAATGAAGAAAATCAAAAGAACCAGGAAAACTGGAAGGCCAAAAGGATCACAAAAACCACGAAAACCAGATAAACAAAGAGAACTAGAAGATCGACAGGACCTGAAGAACCGACAAAACTAGAAGAACCGTTAGAACCAAAAGGCCAACAGACAAGAAAACCAAGAGAACCAAAAAGACTAGAATACCAATGTAACCAGAAGTACCAATAGAACCAGAACAACCAAGTAAACCAGAGGAACAAAGAATCAAGCTCAAAAACTATAAGGAGTAACAGCTTTCCCAACCGACCTGTGATTAGTAATGTCCTTTGTGTTTAACACCAGAAAAAAACAGGAAAACCTGGAGAACGAGAAGAAACGAGAGAACCAAGAGAACTAAAAGCCAAGAAAACCTAAAGAACCAAGAGAACATGAAAGCCAAGACTGCCAAAACAACCAGAAGAGCCGAAAAAAACAGAAGAACCAAAAAACGCCAAAAGAACAAAGGGAACTAGAAGACCTATAGGACCAGAAGGAACACACCAAAAAAACCAGAAATATCAAGAAAATCAAAGGTTCAAGAGAACAAGAAGAACCCAGATAACCAAAAAAACGCAAGGGAACTAGACGACCAAGAGGACCAGAAAACAAACAGAAGCAGAAAAACGTAGGAAATTAGAAAAATCAAGAAGCCAGAAGAACCAAAAGGACCATGGAAACCAGAAGAACCGATGTGGGAATCACAAAAACTGGAAGATAGTACATTATAATATCACTAAGAAGTGGACTATATAGTTTTCACATTTAGGTTGTGCTCACATTCAGCCCGCTGCTTCCCAGAAAATACTGGATCTTATCTCAACTGTCTGAAGAGATACTTTTACGTTTAAAGGCTCTAAAGGTAAAGGCTATGCGAAGGACTATATTAACACAAACTATTTTAATTTTAACTTTTAGTAAGTTTTAACGGTTTAATTTAACCTAACCATGTACGAAATTCGATGTTAATAAGACGGTTTTTTATACGATATAGCGATATTGGTTTAACATTCATCGCTTTTGATTATGAATTATTGATTTGTCCTTTCAAATCTAAATTTTTAATTTTCTGTAGCAAACCGTCGTTATTAATTTCATTGTCTGCAAAGTTACTGTTTATCTTAGTTAATAACTTAACCGGCGTTACTTGTTAGACGTGTAAACATTATTTCATACTCAAAACATTTATGTTGTATTTCCTTTTCCGTCATTTACTGAAAGAATAGAGAAATGTTTTGGAAGAAGTTGCGACTTAAACGAATATGTAACAAAACTTGTTCTTCTTTGCTTTGTTGTTGTTTAACAACGGCGAAAAAACGAAAGGCAATTAATAACTGCTTGTTGATTCTCTAACTCAGTGATTGTCGGTCGAAAACCAAACTTCGATATATTTTTAATTAGACAGCTGTGAATTAAGAGAAGAGAGGTACAGCTACTTAAAAATATGTAAGCAGAACTACGACGTTTGGAGAGACGGCGCTTCGTCTGGAATTCAGTTAGCCAGTAACTTTCCAACAAAGGGCCTCGCTTGAAACGCCGAATTTCTGCTTATATTTTTCAGGCAGATGTATATCTCCTCCTATCCGAAGTTGTCTTGTTATCGTCGCTATCTACACTAGTACTTCATGGCTCCGACCGTTCGAGATAAATTAAGCGACGTCCTCTAATAAATCAAGTAGTCAGCTTTTATTAAAATTTATAATTTGGAAAAATGCGAATTGGCAATAAATTTAAATGTATACTATCAAACTTGCGTGAGGTTGAATTTTACAACAAACTGCCGATCAGCTATGTGCGAGGGAAAACTCAATTTATTATGTAGATCTGAGTTTTACGAATGGATTCACTGGTGAGAATTTTTCTAAGCTAGCGCCAGCCAATTAGAAAGGCGAAACGATATTACCACACGTGAGAAAAACGTTTCAGTCAATCAGAGTGAGCATATGTTTTTGTACGAGCAAATTCAGAAGAACGGCATTAAGAAATCTGTATAACTTTAACAGTTTGAAAGCGAGTCAGAGACTTCGAATTTTCGGAAGAAACATTACAGTGTTTTTAATATCCAAACCACAACAGACGTTCAGTCACTTAGACCCTAATAACGATACCGGAAGTAACGGACAGTAATATAGGAAACTTGACAGGCGTTTTTGAAGCAATTTTTATTAAAACATTGCAACTGTAATTTATAGGCAGACGATGTGTACATACGAACTATATTAATTAAGGGTGCATGGCCTTTGACGATCTTTAATTTAAAAATTTATTACTTGCGTGTTTTCCAGTATGAGCAATATTAAATGCAGGATATTGGTATTCCTGTTCATAATTAGAAGCCATTTTGACGAGACTCGTCGAATTGAATGCTGGAATTGAAAAGCATGAAAATGGCCGAACATATCTTTCCAAAGGCATGGTAAGTATTATATTTATGTAATCAGGAGTTCACATATCATGTGTGCTTTAATGATCGAAAAATCTTTAAACTTAGGCCGTCAGGTCCGTCATATTTTGGAATAAATTAGATTGTAACGAACACTTACTGCGTTTGTGTTGTGGAATAAGGGCCACAAACTTTGTCTGTGCGATGAAACGTCTTCATCTCGCGTCTTGGATGCGAACCTTTTGGTTGAATGGTCACGTATTCCGCATGAATGTTTCCTTGATCATGACCTAACCACACCTTAAACAAAACATGCGTTTCATGCAACTGAGGGCCACACATGCTGTCAAAACGTAGTAGTTCAGTAAAAGACAAAACCCATTTTCCTGTCATCCAAAACTGAAAAGCGCAATAAATATCGATCGTTCCGTCTCTAACGAGATTAATTAATAGCGAGTTGTTGGTTAGGTTTGTTACATTTTTCTCTCAAATACCGTCTAAAGGCCTATTAAATCCCACGACGAGCAAAATGCAAACAATTTCGCGCGAAAACACACTTTGTGCGAAAATTTTCTCTCGTAGTGATTTCCACAGTAGAGAAAAAATTGGTTTCGCTATTTTGTCATCCAAAACACAAGTATTTGATTGGCTTCGGTATTTCTTTTTCGCAACGGAGTAGAAACGAATTCAACTACTCGGCGAAGAGAAATATTTCGCAGAGAAACACTTCAAAATCGTGTTGCGCACGCGTTCAACCTTCTCGCGATCGTCGTGGAATTAGGCCTCTAAAGTACTAGCCTTTTCGAAAATTTCCCGAAGGCCAGCATAGTTTTAGCACTCAGCCAGTTAAGCCGCATATTTGAGGTCGTAGTTACCGAAATGAGGAACCAGAAACTAAATTTGGAAAACTCAATCTGAAAAACTGCTAGTATATTGGCAAAACCGTAAAACCAAAAGGAAAATGACGGGAAGGAAATCATTTCACAAATGGCAATGTCTAATGATCATGTATGTCTTGTCTAAACGCCCATATACTGTACAACCTCGTACCCAGGATCTTTCTTTGGGAGAGACCCTGGGAACGAGGTTGTATACTGCAGGCTGTACTGACTAAAACCACCAACTTGAACTTGCCCTTGTGCATGCGTTGGATATTGAGTGCACCGATTTGATTTTTCATATTCATCAAGAACAAGGTGCATGTTAGCTTTTGAATCACTCCCTTTTCGTATAATCGCAAGCAAAATTGATAGAATACGAGTCGATTAAAAATTGCAGGTCCAAATCACATTTTCAAGTGACGATATTCATCAACAGATGTTTACTATGTCCCAAATATCTTGGAGCTTTTTAAATTGAAATTGATTTATGAATTTTAAATCCATATTGATATGGGATATATATTTTTAATAGTTTTGTATCCAAAATGCTATTTTGACCAGCAACTTTTATTATTCCATTCCGGCGTATTTGGAACATAAGTTTCGTAACCTATTGAGTTGCATTGCACCCTGATGAGTGCAAGTATTTAGTATTTTGCTCAGTCTAATGCTGGACTATTTTACACGTCAAACCGGATGGCGCAGGTGTTCAAAGGGTTAAAGGCGGATTTCTAGTCCTCGCACGAAGCTCCTCGCAGCTCGCTGCGAGTGATGTATGAGCATTTTCATCCAATCACAATGCTAAACAGTTCATTTTAATTAGATGCAAGCACTCGTAGCGAGTTGCGAGGAGCTTCGTACGAGGACTGGAAAACCGCCTTAAGAGGTCTTTTATTTTGGACGGAAATATAACTTGGGCGTGCCGTTAGTGCAGGCAGGAAGGTATTATTAAGTTCGACCTCATGTGATTTATAAATTATTTTGCTGTAGGTTGCATACAGGTCTGTGGACGACTTTTTCTGTTTTTGGATTTCTTGTCCTGGTTCAAGCTCAGTACATGATAGACAAGACGAAAGCCTTGGATGACAAAATCCTTCTTGGATATGCATTTCGTAAGCTCACGATGAAATCTGTGGATGAATGTTTCTTTCATTGCTACGAAGATTGTTTCTGTATGGCATTTCAAATGTGTCAGAGTACAGAATGTCAACTGTTGTCGACCAATCAATTTCAATCTTCATCAGCACTGGTTACCATGAAGGGATGTACCTATTACGACATGCTTCCTGATTTTGAGCAGGTAAAGAAATTTACTGCAGTAGATGGGCTATGGAATTTTTGAACGTAAATTTCACTTCTAGGTCTAACCAGAAGGACTGGCGAACACTGCAGCTGCAGGCCCTTCGGCGGGAATCGAACCTGTGGCACACAAGGTGGCTCGGTAGCTACAGTTATGATCTTTGTGATGTTACTCTTAGTGTACATCCACATCGGACAAGCTTGAAAACTATGCCTGGCCACGGTGGAAATCGAACCTACGAAGTACGACCTTTGAATACTAGCCCAATGCTCTGCCAACTGAGCTACGCGGTCAAGTCGGTTCGAGTATGTGATATTTCGGAACTGAATCTAGTTCCTTCGATGTCAATGCAATCTAGTAATATGATTTTTCTGTACATGTGTTGTTAATGTTATGTAATCAGGTGAATGTGATGTTTGTGATGTTACTCTGAGTGTGTATCCAAACCGGACAAGCTTGAAAAATATGCCTGGCCATGGTGGGAATCGAACCTACAACCTTTGGAATACCAGCCCAATGCTCTGCCAACTGAGCTACGTGGGCAGGTCGGTTCGAGTATGTGATATTTCGGAACTGAGTCTAGTTCCTTCGATATGCTTAGTTGGCAGAGCATTGGGCTAGTATTCCAAAAGTCGCAGGTTCGATTCCCACCGTGGCCAGGCATATTTTTCAAGCTTGTTCGTTGTGGATATACACCCATAGTAACATCACAAACATCATATTCACCTGAGTACATAACATTAACAACACAGAAAAATCATAATACTAGATTTCATTGATATCGAAGGAACTAGCCTCAGTTCCGAAATATCACATACTCGAACCGACCTGACCGCGTAGCTCAGTTGGCGGAGCATTGGGCTAGTATTCCAAAGGTCGTAGGTTCGATTTCCACCGTGGCAGGCATATTTTTCAAGCATGTCCGCTGTGGATACACACTCAGATTAACATCACAAACATCATATTCACCTGAGTACATATAACATTAACAATACAGAAAAAAAAGCTACAGTTATATTATAAAAGGGAAATTCACGATTTGGAGCCGTGTGTTTGGACTATTATTAATTCATGAAAAACAAAAGGTATCTTTCTGATGCATGTAAAACCACATCTAAACGGTTTGATCTTTTTCAGAGAAGATACACAACTGCCGTTGCTATGGGAACAATGGAGTTTCAAGAGGGCGGATATTTTTACTTTGAAGACATTTAACTCAAAAACGATATCGGGGACACCGAAATTTTATTTCATAAAATGATTTCTCTTAGTATACTCAATCATCTTGGCTTAACAGATGTTTTAAAAACTTGTCAAGATAGAGTTTTCCACTAAGTCAATTTGGGATCTTGCGTTCAGTCTGCAAACTTCCTGTTTTGAAAAATGTTTACCACTAAGGGAAAGTACATTTATTACGCCGAGGGGGGGATGAGATGTCTTGAAAAAAAGCTCATATTTTTACAGTGCCCCTGTTGAGGTTATTGGTAAATTTTGAATGCCCTCCCTCCAAGTTTTTACAATTTTCAATGCCCCCCCCCCCTCCAGAATTCGGAATCTAAGGAGTACAATCCGGAATTCTCTCTTATCATAGATACAATTTGCAGTTCCTCAAGATGTCTGATATACTCAAGCATGTGCTTCTCAACAAAAATACCGACCTGCTGCTTCTTTCACCTCACTACCGCCAGATAAAATGGCGCCGTCTTAAAAAAAAATATGTTAGATTGGCTCTAGGGGCGAAATTATCAACAGGTTGTTGTTGTCCGTCATTCAGCGTAGTCAGAGTCTTAAACACATTCATGTATAGTGGCCAGGATTTCCTGGATCAGGGTAATGTGCTGGAACCTTAGAGAATGTCGCCCCCACCCAACGTATCTCCTGGCATGTGTTGCAAATGTCTTTGCATGCCTGTCAAAAATGCATGCAAAAGTGCCAGTATGCTTCAAGTTCTTTAATTTTCATCCCGTTTGTACTAAATATCCAATAAAGATAGAACATATCATTCTTACAAATCGTATGCTTCTTTTGTTTTTGGAACTGCTTCTTTTTGGCGGGTAAATAACTTCACAAACCTGGCGCCAAAAAATTAAAATAAGCTATAGGTGATTTCATGTATCCATTTAGAAGAGCAGACTAAGGATATCTTAAAACTGGATATCTTAAGGGCAGACTAAGGATATCTTGAAGAGCAGACTAAGGATATCTTAAAACCATCAGGGACGTAGCAAAGCATCTGACGTTTGGGGGATGTCCGCGGAGGATTATATGTGTAATAATTATAATAAAGCTTTTTGTGATTGATTGGCACTCTCATACTAACTTTTGGGATAAAAGGGGGGTCTAGGGGTCCTCCCCCAGAAAATGTTTACATTTTTGAAGCTCTAGGACTAAATTTCTGGTGTTTTCTAAAGTAACTTCGCAAACAAATTGCATGTAAATTGACAGTATTTTACAAAAATGGTTATCATTTCACAAAAATAATTACTTTATTATGCAAATTTTACCTCAAAATGTCAAAATTTTAACTTGAATTTTACATGATTGTTGCCTGAATTTCACAGTGGGGGGGGGGGAGTTTCCAAACCATCTATTCTATTAACTATGGTGGGAGTGAACGCTCCATGCCCCTGCTGGACAAAAACTTTGAAAAGTTTAGAGCCCCCCCCCTCTTCAGTATATCGAGAACTTTCAGAGAGCCTAAATTTCATTGTTAAATTGCTAGTTGAGATTTATCAAGACTTGATAAGTAACCTATATTAACCTTTCATAACTAATAAAGCAATAGTGGATTTTCTAATAAAATGATATAAACAGTTGTATACGTACGATTGAGTACTTAGTGAGAAATCAGGCCTAGTTCAGTTCTTTTAAAACTGGTTTAATTTTTATTTCTAGTCAAACTCTTCATCTAAATTAAACCAAAATGTAAATTTAATCAATTGCGACACACAAAAACCTCTTGGCGAAGATACTGAAACCATGATCATTGTTGATTGAGTACTAAACTGCAGGGGCCGGTTGCCGGTTGTTCAAAGCTGGATTAGCGCTAACCTTGCGTGGCTGGGTTAAAATTTAATCGGCCGTTTTAATTTCTGCATTTCTGCACGTCTGCTAATTTCTAAACTTCAGAGAAAAAAACTCCAGCTGATTCAGACAATATCTCTGAAGAAATATTTCCAAATTTATAAACAAGCGTTTGGCAAGTTTGCTTTGAATTTTAAGTTAACCTATGGTTAGGCTACTGCTTTGAACAATTAAGCGGCCTCTACGTTTAACCAATGCAGTAGTCCTAAATTATGTTTGTACATGCCTATACCTGTTTTAAGATGTTTTACATCAGCCAGTGTACAAAAGTTAAGGTTTTTCAGCAACCAGTGGCATTTTTTTTCCTCAATTGGTTTCTTGCATTTTAATTTTGATGCCTAATTGGCTAAATTTCTGGCTAATGGTTCTTTATCCTTTGTTTCTTTTGTTCGGATTTTTACTGTTAGTATAGATTAATGTACATTCCGATTTCTGACATGTAGGTATCATTTACATAAAGCTCTTAGACAAATCCTTCCTTTTTTAGATCAAGAAAAGAGGGAGTTGTGATCCAGCATATGGCTGTCAAATTTATACCAATCTATGTCCAGCTGGCAGACGTTATGTCGCAATCACACCTAAAGCTTACACAACACCACGTTACTTATGCCATCCGTTAAAATCATGTCGTGGTTACAGCAATGGTCCTCGAGTGCCTGGAAAATACTGGGTGTTTGATGATAATATGAATCCCTTCAAAATCTTTTGTGATTTTGATCCAAGAACTAATGCGACTTGGACACTGGTTCAATCATATCAATTTAAATATAACAGCATCTTTAATACCGCTTACTCCACAGATTTGCCTATAAGCGAAAACACACCTCGCTGGGATGCATATCGTCTTTCAAAATCCAGAATGCAATCCATTCAAGACGATTCTAACGAATTTCGTGTGACATGCAAGTATGATGCTGACGGTGTAGTCTACACTGATTATCTTCAGGTAACAAAGAAGCAGATTAATTTACTGATATTTCCAAAGTCATCGAAGGGGCAATGCAGATTCGTGGAACATATAGACATTCGCGGACAAAATTGTTCAAAATGCACCGCTTATATTCATCAATCTTCCAACGTATTGCACTTTCACGCCGTCTCTAGTTATGAAGATACAAACAGTTGTGCATTTCAACCAAAAAGTAGTCCTGGATGTAAAAATTATGGTGACATTAGTTTTGGCTGGTATGGTTGCTATAATGCAGAAAATCGATGCTCGTCCTCTGTTACGGCAACAACTCAAACATGGCTTGGAGGTAGCTGAAAATGAGTTGGGGAAATGATTTCCATAAGTTTAATATTTATGAAGGAACTCGCAAAAACATCTTATTTGAAGGATTTTTAAAACATCATCCAGGGTGCAAGGGTAAACATTGACACCTGGTAATAGGTTACATGTAAAATAAATATTTGTATAGCACTTTGATTTTGTTGCCGCTTGTCATTGCTGCTCAGTAATTTTTCATGATCCATGCATGGGTCACAGAAGGTAGTTTGCGAGTATTAGGGAGCTTATACATGCTTGGACTCGAGGCGCCAAAACAAGAACGATGGCTAATTATAATACAATGAAAATATGAATCATCAGATCGCAAAAGGAATAAACAAGTTTTACAGGCGTTTCAAATGTCGGCCATGCAGGCTCTGCTGACTACGGCAAAGTATATATTTCTACGTCCCTTGCACAACGGTAGCGGTTCCAACCGCGATTAACATTTTCTCCACTGGTAATAAAAGCCCTGCTAACCTTCTGAAACTGCATGAAACTGTACGATAGCGAATACAGGACAAAACACTGACAAGATTTCCATACAATCCTACATTTCAAGTTGTTTGGCCATCCTAGCGTAGTGCCAATTTCGTATCCTCTGTACGTAAACGTCTTATTTCATAACACTGGAACGCTGCCTCTAAGCGGAAATTTGAAGCCAAACTTGATGCCAGGCCCAGTCTTTCGTGCATACGAAAAGCGCTCGATCAGCCAATCATTTCATGAACACGCGTATTCTTACTTCCAGACACGCGTGTCTGGAGGTAAGATTTGGCTTTAAGAAAAAGATAAGCGGTTTAGCTGAAGGTAGTGTTCCAGTTATACTTATTCCAATGTGTCGTTTACATATAATAAGTAACATGCTTATCTTAACAACCAAATTTTCAGAGTGACATCTGCGCATCCAAAGTACACATTCTGCGTCGGGAGCAGCTGCTGAATCATAACATGTAACTGAGACTGAAAGCATCAAAAAATGTATTTGCATGTATTTTGAAAAGCCACAATGGAACTGTCCACTAGCATATCAAATCTTTTGTTCAAATGGAAATAAAAATGGTAATTTTTGTGTAATAATCATTTCAGTCCTCAGTTTTGTCTCCATGTGCGAGGTAAATATTTCAAATGCTAATAACTAAGTGAATGTTTGTTAAAATATATTTGAATTATTTTATTATAACAGAACTATACAAAGGTCAGGTTAAGAAAGGTTGCTATAATTTACATAGGCACATAGCTTTAACCGCGCTACGTTGTCCTTTAATGTATCCCATATAATTATTATAAAATTATAATAAACAGTACATTACATATAATTACAGGTATGTATTCCACCTCAAATAGTGAGTAGTGGGTCATAGCTGTATATAATAAAAACAATTCACCATATAATTCTCAAATTCTATACATTGTTTTCATATTGCATGCGAATATACGCGATTGTATGATCTTAACCACTGTATAAAGTGTAACATAAGTAATAAAGAATACATTTATTTCGTTGACTTTATGTCGTGGTCTATAATAACTCCTCGTCCTGAATGAAGTCCATGTTAGACGAGGCACTTTTGCTGCAATATGCAACTCGGATTCACCTGAATTAGCTCACATCCATTCTTTCTTCACCAATATCCAAATTATAGTTTGGGTTCATATCCGTTCGTTCTTCACCAGTATTCAAATTACAGTTTGGAAAGAATTGTTCCACAACATTATACCGTCTTCTCATGTCTTGATAAATTGCATTGAACTGGACACCAAACTCCATCAAGGAACAATTTCCTCCATCAACCTCTAGGGTATATCCCTGTGTGTGCATCGCAACGATGTTTCCATTCAGATCGAAAACAGGTGAACCACTAGCACCTGAAAATAGACTTGTGTCGTATGGAAGACATTTTGCATATCTTTTGGTAGACTGCTCTATTTCGAATCTGGTTATGTGCACACCAGCACAAAGTTCATGTCTTTGTTGCAGTTTTTCACGCCACGAGTGACTGCTAACAACAACGCATGTTTCGTCATGCATTTCATCACCGCCTGGATAACCCACTATAATAATTCGACCTTCGCGTAATGGACGGTTTCTAACAATCGGACCAAGTGGAACACGATTCCTCAGACTTTCGTTTTCTTTCAAACGTAAAAATTTATAATCCAAGTGTGAGTTTTCAAGCTGAGGATTCCGTTCCTCATCAACCTCAACAGTGAGAACATGCTCTCTTTGTTCTGAGCACAAGTAATCAAATGAGACTGTGATGGGCAAGTTGGAATTTTGCTGTTCCTCTCTTTCCGCGTTGATCATCGTACAAACATGATGGTTGGTTATCACCAGCATGTCTGTCACCAAGAAACATGTCCCTCGAATGTCTCCACATGCAATTTGACCAATGGAATCCATGTAAGTAGCTAAAAGTTTATTCAGTCTCGCCGGCTTTTTAGTTGAAGTATGTTTAAATATGGCTTCTTTTGCAAAGTTGAAAATTTGTTGATCGGCATTTCCAAATTCGCCATCATTTTTACCAAATTTATTGATCTTCGGATTCAACAGGCTTTTGTAAGCTGACGTTTTAACATTTGCTGTCATGGATTCGCGAACTTTTTTGGTTAAAGTTTCCTTACTTGATACCGGATGAGTATACACGTACGAGGCTGAAAATTCCTTGATGTATTTTTCAAGACAAACAAAACCTTCATTCGGTAATATTTCAGTTCTGCTTGGCTTGCAGGCCTCCATAACCACCGAGTCAACCCACTCCGCTAAAAAATAAAATTTACAAAATTTTACCCAAACAATTCAAATATTATATTTTTCAAGGTGAATAACGGTTGTAGAATTTATTGTAACTTACTGTATTACTGTAACAATTATTCGCTGGCGGCGATGTGATTACCAGTGAATATTCATCGTAATCACTGAGTTTGGGGCGAATAATTGTTTTACTATAAATTTTTAATGAAACAAAATATCCAAATTCAGCATATATATATATATATATATATATATATATATATATATATATATATATATATATATATATATATATATATATATATATATAATCAATACGATTTTAAATTTTACCCGCAACTGGCTCGCATACAGTTAGAAATTCCTCCGAATCAGTTTTACTAGTCTTCTCTTCTGTTACATCTGAATCTGTGAATTTGAAAGAAAAAACCCTTACTATAGATATAAACTGTATTAAAAACTTGTGTATTAAATTATTGTATTATTACTTGAAAATGCCTGCAGAAACCCTCACGTTGCTGACAAACCATCCGCTGCGTCCCCAGACGCTATAAAAACATTTCAAATACGAGTTACTATATAGCAGGTTTACATGAAGTGGTGCAACGCGACGAACAAGCGCACGGATTTATGAGGCACAGGAACGGTTGAACATAAACAAATCCCAAACATATCCCATCCCCCTTTGCGCGCCTATAATGACGTACTTTATGTAAACCTTTTGTACAGTGACTAGTATGGGAAGTCGTTTCATAGCGCCTGGGATGAAGTATTTAAAGTAGCTGCCATGGTAACAAGCCTGAAAATAAATTTCCAAGGGTGCCTGACAAAGTGTCAGGTACCAACTGATTGGTGCCTGACACTGGACATTTTGTGCCTGACAAAAAAATATTAACGCAACAGAGCAAATATAATTTTTTGTGAAAAGCTTAGTAATAACAATTATGCCACTACTCACTAGTCAATGTACCTATTACCTAATGAACAAAATTTTGATCTAGACAAGTTTAGACAAAAGTTTCATCACAGCTTGAAAGAGCATCACAAAATTAGTAATATTCCGAAGTTTCGTTGCGAAATGTTGTAAAATTCGGATAATATAGCCCTGCGAAGTTTGCCGTTTTCTGCTTTCTGAAAAAAGGTATCAATTTCCCGCGCGTATTACAAAATGACTGAAAAACGGCAAACTTCGCAGGGCTATATTATCCGCATTTTACAACATTTCGCAACGAAACTTTGGAATATTACTAATTTTGTGATGCTCTTTCAAGCTGTGAATGTGATGAAATTTTTGTCTAGACTTGTCTAGATCAAAATTTTGTTCATTAGGTAATAGGTCCATTATACCATACGGAATCGAACAATCATAAATTTCACAGCATTTTCACAGGCATATTGTATTTTTAATGCCAGTTGTAAACAGTTTCACCAATAGTTGTATTAATATGCTGCCGGACAAACTGTCCGCCAAAAAAACAGTTGTGCCGGACAATTACCTTTTCGTACCGGACAATGTCCGTGACCGGCCGCTTATTTTCAGGCTTGCATGGTAACACGATCATTTTATTGTACAGACTTATAATTACATAGTTACAATATATCATATATCATGTTGACGAGACAACACGCCTTGAAACACAGCTCAAAAAAAATGTCGAAATCTACCCTAAATGCATCAACTGAAAAGGCAAAAACGAGATCATCTGAAGTTTATAATACTCCGAACGAATCAGAAGTAAAAAATGGGAATCAAAGCCAAGAAATAAAGCGCATCGACCAAATCTACGATATGGTGAAATCCATGATGGCGAAATTAGACACGCTAGACGAGATAAAAGAACGCATTCTTTGTGTCGAGAGAGATATGGGGCACATGAAGGACTCAATCGAATTTGCTTATGCAGAATTACGGGAATTAAAAGAAGAATCCGATAAGTCCAAAAGAACCAACGATCTTAACGCACAGAAACTACGAGAGCTAGAAGATTCAAACCGTCGTCTACAAGAGAGCGTCATTGATCTCAAAGCACGATCCATGCGGGATAACTTGCTTTTCTTCAATGTCAACGAAGACGAGAGAGAAAACACGACGGAGAAGATTTACGAAATCTTAGAAAGAAATCTAGAGATTCCCAATGCCAGAGACACAATAAAAATTGATCGTTCTCACCGAATCGGAAGGAAACGCGAGGGCCAACGCAAGCCTAGAGCAATAGTTGTCAAATTTAACTTTCACCAAGATCGAGAGCGAATAAGATTAAACGCCAGAAAGCTCAGGGGAACGCGTATTGGAATCGCGGAGCAGTTTCCCGAAGAAATTGAGAAAATTCGCCAAACCTTATACCCTGAGTTAAAGAAGGCTAAAGCGCAAGGACACAGAGTGCGTATGGTACGGGATAAATTATACATAAACAATGTTGAGTTCAAACCTTCAACTCATAATTAACATTACCATCTTTTCTTATTTTAACATATATAAATAGACGCTATGGCTACTCTAAAATTAGGTAAGAAATATTGTTCTTCTTGTTTCCTTAAAATAAGTATGGATCAAAAAAGCATTAATTGTCTGACATGCGGGGGATGGTTTCATGCTCGCACCGCATGCATAAAATCATCTGTCACATGTCAACAAACGGAAATTGATATATGCAACATGTGCTTAAGCTGTTCGCTTCCTTTTCACTCAATTAATGATTTAGAATTCCATTTTATTTTTGGCGATTTCAGTCGAGTTCCAAGTGATGAGTTTATGGATAGATTAACGCAACTCAAGTTTAATCCTTTTCACATTAATAATAATAACATTGCAAACGCTCAACACTTTGAGAATTATATGCCGGAAAATCTTGATGATTTGACATGCAATTATTACCTACCAAACGACTTTGCTATGAGTAATATTACTGATAACAAAAATCTATCGATACTAAACCTTAATATAAGAAGTATAGCTAATAAGTTTGACTCGTTTAGGAATCTTCTAAGTACTTTGAAACAACCTTTTTCTATAATTAGCCTAACTGAAACTTGGCTAAATGAACAAAACAGTGAAAATTTCCATCTTACTAATTTTGATTTTGTTTGCTCAAACAGAGCTAATAAAAAGGGCGGTGGAGTAGGAATTTTTATCTCAAATAATTTAAACTACAAACTACGAACTGACCTAAATATAAACGAAGACGGAATAGTTGAAACACTTTTCATTGAAATTATTTCAACAACTGGTAAAAATATAATTGTTGGTACTATCTACAGACCGCCAAGTGGTAATTTTGAAATGTTTGAAAATAAGCTAAATGCAATACTAACCGAAGTTGACAAAACAGGGAAAATAACATATTTGACGGGGGATTTTAACATTGATATTTTGAAATCGGATTATTGCGATTATTCCAATAGATTTTGTGAGCAACTTTTTACTTCATCTTTTTATCCGCTGATAAATAGACCAACTAGAATTACGCAGCATACAGCCACGTTAATTGATAATATCTTTACAAACAATCTTGAACAAATAGATTCTGGTGTAAATGGACTAATTTTCTCAGATATTTCAGATCATCTCCACATAGCTTCTTCATCCACAAATAAAAATAATACAAAAAGAGGAAATGCACATTATAGAAGAATAGTCGACAAAGATAATCTTGCTTCGTTTTTACTATCTGTGAAAAATATATCGTGGGAAAGTACTTTCGAAACCAATGACCCTTGTGAATCCTATACGAATTTTCACAATAATTTGAAGGTAGCAATTGATAAATGTTTTCCTTTAGCAAAAATAAAAAAGAAAACTGTGGATCACACAAAAAGTCCCTGGATGACAATTGGTATATTTAAATCTATATCCAAGAAAAATAAACTCTATAAAAAATTTCTAAAAAAGCCATCTTATAGAAATGAAACAGCCTATAAAAAATACAAAAACAAACTGAATCACGTAATAAAAACCGCAAAAAAGGCCTTTTATGAAACACAATTTCTTAAGTATAAAAATGATATTAAAAAGACATGGCAAACTATCAACGAAGTTCTTAACAGAAATAAAACCAGATCAAAACTACCCGATACTTTTTTACAGAAGAATTCAAATAATAATGTTTCAAATCCTCTGGAAATTGCTAACAAATTTAACGAATATTTTGTGAAAATTGGTCCACAACTAGCGAAAAAAATTCCCAAAAATGATAACATAACGTATGAAAGCTACCTTAATGGCAACTATGTTGAAAGTATGTTTATAGAACCTGTGACTGAATATGAGCTGCAAATTGAGATTAATAACTTAAGTGAAACTAAAAGTGCAGGACATGATGACATAAGCGCGAAAATGATAAAGATCATCAGTGAAAAAATAATTAAACCTCTAACATATATTTATAATCTATCATTTGAAACTGGAAAAATACCAATTTTTTTAAAAATAGCTTTAGTTACTCCTATTTTCAAAGCTAAGGAAAATAATCTATTTGAAAACTATCGACCTATATCGGTATTAACTTGTTTTTCAAAACTACTTGAAAAACTTATGTACAAGCGATTAATTAACTATGTTGAAAAACATCGTATACTTTCAGAACATCAATTTGGTTTTAGAAAAAATAGATCAACTGAGCATGCCATTCTTGAACTAACCGATAAAATATCCAAAGCAATAGATGAAGGTAAATATACTGTAGGTATATTCCTTGATCTCTCTAAAGCCTTCGACACTGTCAATCACGAAATTCTCATAAAAAAACTTCAACACTATGGAATTAGAGTTATAGGTCTATAATGGTTTATAAATTATTTTCAGGAAAGGACTCAAATAGTTAAATATAAACAACATAGGTCAACTGAAATGAGTGTTAGGACTGGCGTCCCACAGGGTTCAATTCTTGGACCACTACTATTTCTAATATACATTAATGACATTGAAAACTGCAGTAAAATTCTTTCTTTTGTCTTATATGCCGATGATACAAATGCCTTTTATTCAAATTCGTGCCTAAAAACTTTAGCTAGTACTATACAAAATGAAATGAATGAAGTAGTGCAATGGCTTAACGCCAATAAATTATTAATCAATGCATCGAAAACAAAATTTGTCATTTTTAAATCAAAAAATAAGTCACAGCATCAAGAATTCATAGTAAAAATAAATAATGATATAGTTGAACAAGTACCTTGGGTAAAATTCCTAGGTGTATTAATTGATCAAGAGTTGACACGGAAGAACCACATCAACTCCGTTCTGAAAAACATAATTAAATCTGCGGGTCTTATTGCTAAACTAAGACATTTTACGAACAAAAACACTTCGAAATTGATTTATTATGCATTGGTTTATCCATACCTCACGTACGGAAATCTAGTTTGGGGAAGTACATACCCAACAAGGTTACAAAAGTTACTAAATGTGCAAAAGAAAATTGTACGACTAATCTGTTTTAAATCTTATATGGATCATTCTGAACCAATATTTTTACAATTGAAATCTTGGATATCTACAAAATTAATGATTATCTATGCAGCTTATTCATGTATCGCTTCAGTTATTGTCAAAATTTCCCGGACTTTTATAATGATTACTTCAAACAAAATAACTATACAACTATAATACTCGAAATTCTACCAAGTTACATGTTAGCTATAAGAGAACAAACTATCGCAAATACACTGTATTTAACAAAGGAGTTTCTATATGGAATTACCTTGATGAGAAAATTAAAAATATTAAATCTTATTTTTCTTTTAAGAAAACTGCAAAATCTTATTACTTGATGTCTAGTTGATGTAAATATTTCAGGAATATTAATGACAGTATTCTGTAATGTACTAAATATTCCTTAAACATTTTCCATATTTATTTGTAAATACTTTGTGTTTTTCATTGCAAATTGTCCTTATGTACATAATCTAGTTTTATATTACTGAACACTAAAACTATAGGGGCCTCGTCTTAAAAGTCCAACAGGATTTCCAGAGGTCTCTAGCCCGTTTATATATTCTTAAACATTCAACTTGTAAATATTATTTGTGGGTAAATAAACTAAACTAAACAACATATAGAAAGCTAAACTAGGACAATTACGTATATTTAATGGTAATAAAGTTATCGAAACGTTCAGTGAAGGTTCTCACAGTTCCACTACTATTTGTTCTCCGTAAAAATAATCATGTTCGTTAATTTAAAGAACCAGGAGGGTCTAATTATATTATAGACTGGATTATTTTTATATGCTTTCTTCCCGGTTGAGTAGATAAATCTCCGACACAACTGATCTCTTCGACATTCCAGAGTTTTAAGCTTTATTGTCTTCAATGCTTCATAATAAGATATGTCAGGGTATAAAATCTTGAGTGCTCTCTTTTGAACAGACTCAAGATGAGAGGATAGGTATATTCAGGAAGAGCTGCTCATACTGGGGATAAATACTCAAGTTTGGAGCGAATAACTGACCTTATAACGATCTACTGAGACCCAGGCCAGCTTTCTTCAATAATCGTAGGACAAAGAGTCGGGTTTAGCTTTCTTCAAGGTATGGTGAACGTGGGTATACTCTAGGTCAGATCTTTGGATAGATAGACAGCCAAGAGCTTAAAGCTGTGTACTCTTTCAACGCATTGTCCAATAATGAACATGGATTGATCACATCAAATTCGCTATTGAAGAAAATTTATAATCACTTCTTTACATTTTGTGGGATTAAGCTCCATTGAATTTGGAGATTCCTCTAAGTTCCATGAGAATTTGGAGATTTCTTCATCAACTAAAGGCAACACACTAGAAGAGCACCTTGGGATTACTTCCAATGCTGTTGTATCATCGACAAATTTTAGACGACAATTCCAGTCTTTTAATAATGGGTTAACCAGAATAGCAAATATAAGAGGACCCAAATATGTTCCTTGTTGCAAACCTCCAGGAAGACTGATGGCAATCAACTTTGAAACATTGTTGACGATTGGTCAAGAACGCTGTAATCCAGCGAGCGAGGACAAAGTGGACATTATGATTTCCAAGTTCGTTTATAATAACGTTATGGTCCACTAAATCAAAGCCCTTCCTGAAATCGGCGAAAACAATCTGATGGAGTTATGACCACTGTATAAGACAGAAAAACGTTAATGAAGAAGTTACACCAGGATTTGTTTGAAACAGCCGGGCTGTATAGCTGTCCTACTCGAATGCTTAAATGCATTAGATGCCTCATATCATGGATTGTAAAATAACTGGATAGAAAACTTCTGACGTCATTGACTGCATCCTTGTTGAAAAACATGACGTCACGCGTATTGCGAATGTTACCAAAGTTCTCGGCATATTTGTTGTTTTGCTATATTTTCCACTTTAAAAGGGTGATCTTGAAGCGTAAACTGGTCTAATTGTTTTAAAAACATGCCTAAGCCACGACAAAGTATTCAAGGCAAATGTTTTTCGTCTCTGTTTTGTATTTT